CTTCTAGGCAGTGTGCTGTGGCCTACAGGAGAGTTTATGAGTTTCAGCTTTTTCATTTTTAATTCCACAGTTGGAGTCCACATTAAAAGAGAAGTCTCAACAGCTTGAGAGTCTTCAAGAGATAAAGATCACTTTGGAAGAACAGTTAAAGAAAGAGACTGCTGCTAAGGTGATTTTTTTTTTTTTTTTTGGTTCATTTAATTAAAAGCAGGGCTAAGAAGGTAGGATCACATCTTATTTGTTTAAAAGAAAAACTTTGAAGTGTCACCTTTTAAAAAGTTGGCAAGACTGTCAGCTTCCCCCCTCCAAAAAATAATTAAATGAATTGATATATTAGAATTGAATTAAATCCTCACTCTGCCAGCCCTGGAAGCCGGTGTCATAGGCCTTCCTAGTTTTGGATAGGGCCAATGACCACACTTGGGCACTGCCCAGTTAGAAGCACTGCTTTGAATGTGTCATTCCATTTGACTGATATATTAGCTGAGTTAGAATAAAAGTGCATGTGGCTAGTTATGGGGTAAGTTTCCCAGAAACATCTTAGTGAGCTGTGTGTTCAGAACTTTAAGTATAGAAAAACTGTGTTGGTGTTGTTCAAATAGCCCCTTGTTTTTAGAAACGTTCCCACGCATCCTGCTGAAGTGTTTTTTTGTAAAGAAGATTGGAGTTAGCTGGGGCTGCCTAGGGCATATTTCCTGAGAATTTTCCTGGTGGATACTTGACTGTTGTGGTTGTCAGAGGAAATCCCCAAAGTTTCTATCCCTGTTGCTGTGACAGCTACTGATCTTAGCAGCTGCATTCTGATGATTAATCACTGTCACCAACTGCTGGTGGGGTGGGCAGCACTTTAATCCATTTCTGGCTTTCCCACTCAGTTTGTTTTACAACCTAGAGCAAGTAGCCAGCTTGCACCCTTGCCCTATAGATAAAGAGAGCAATAGGATATAGCAGTATGGTGGATACCCACACCTTTCTGCTCTAGTAGTAGGTAACTACACATTCCTAGATTTCCTAAGTAATTCTGACCTTTGGCTCTTTGGCATTAATCCTCATTCAATACTTGTATTTTTTAGGCTACTGTTGAACAACTAATGTTTGAAGAGAAGAACAAAGCTCAGAGATTACAGACAGAATTAGATGTCAGTGAACAAGTCCAGAGAGATTTTGTAAAGCTGTCACAGACCCTTCAGGTGAGGCATTTGGGGAACCACTGCGCAGAGCATTGAAGCACTTTTGGAGGAGAGAACCTTGCCAACCCTGACTTGACCTCCGGCAGTAGCTAGAGGTTTACACTGTGGCTGCCCCTCCCTCCACTCCACATGTCTACCTGGTCATTCAAGCCAGGAACGTGGTGTGTTCTTCAGACTCAGCCCCCTTTCTTTTCCTCTACACCTTGCCAATTTTGCCTCCTTAAGAGTAGTAAAGTATAAACTACTTAGCACACACCATGTAACACTCTTTCCAACCAGGCCTACCCCTACATTTTGCTCATCTTTCTGCCTTGTTTTATGTTCTAATATTTTTCAACTACTTGTGGTTCCTTGTCTACAGCATGGTGTTCCCTCTGCTAAGCATCTCATCCCCTCGTGACTTTTCTTTCAAAGCCCAGCTTACATTTGTCTTCTCCACGGAGCCGTCTCTAGGTCCCTGAGCTGGGCTAAAGTGCCTCCCTCCCTCTGCCATGCTCCCTTGGCACTCCGTGAATGTCTGTAGTGACATTTAGTATATTGTGCTAGAACTCTCTGTAAGCATCTTTTTTCCCAACTGAACTGTGGATTCTTACGGGTCAAGAGTCAGGTCTCCTTTGTCTCCATAATCTCAGCACTTTGCATTTTGCAGTCCCAGTCTGTTACATAGCAGCTTTTGGGAATTATATTTGAATTTAATCGTTCGTTCTTCTTGCTTCCCTTCTTTGAAGTGACTGCTTCTCTGGGAAATTAATCTGCTGCATCTCAGCTAAACCAAAGTAAAGTTAAGAAAACCTAGGCAGGAGCCACCTGCACTTATCTCACCGTTGTTTCTCCAGGTGCAGTTAGAGCGGATCCGGCAAGCAGACTCCTTGGAGAGAATCCGGGCAATTCTGAATGATACCAAACTGACAGACATTAACCAGCTCCCTGAGACATGACACCCCTATAGCAGGATTCTAGCCTGCACTTTGGGTTTTTAACTCCTCTTTAGAGCAACATTAATTATTATTTAACTATTAACTGAAGAAACAGAAGTCACAACAAAAGGAAGACTGGAGAAATGCTTACTTCTAGAGGGAGAAGACTGCAGCACAGGAACAGCAAACAGCCAGGGTGATTTGTAGCAGACCTTTCAAATGGGAACACTAACGAGACTCCAGACTTGATCCCAACAGGTGTGGGATCAATTTGGTGATGGAAAAAGTGCTGTTTCCTTGCCTGCTTTCTCCAACATAGATTTTTGGAACACATTTCCCTACCCTAAAGCAACATCCCAATAGTGTTTGGAATTACATTTTCTGTTCATAGATATTGGAAGAAAGAATTTTCTTTTTCTGTTGTCTAGAGCTCATCAGTAACAGTATTCAGCTAGCAGACAGAGGTGTAGTATGCTGTATGAATATTTTATATTAAAATATGAAGTTATGAGAGCAGGCCATTGGCTACTGACTGTATTTCCCTTGCTCAGTGCATTTTTTTTTCCTTTTACCTTTTTATTTTGCATTGGAGGACCTTAAATGCTACTGAAACTTACCTGAGAACCATAGGACTGTGGCAAATAAAACCAATTCAGCAACTGAATTAATTATGAAGATCTGAAAACTTGGCTGGGGCTATCTATGTTGGAAGGTGAAGTTAAAGGAAAAGCACAAGAAACTGTTTGGAAGCACTTTTCTGCATACCTAGATGATCTTCGTGGACTGACAGGTATCAGGGTAAAGCTGAACTGGCACCATCTACTTTTTTGAAGTGTTTTAGTTTAGTTATTGGATCAGTGAAAAAAAATATTAATAAAACAAGCTTTGTCTGACAGCCTCTAGTATACATTTATAAATCTGCTTATTTTCAACTTGGATCAATGGGCTTGAGTACTGTTTTTTTCAAATGTGTCAAATATGAAAATGGTAGTAACTAGGTTGACAGATACTTTGTATTTTTCTTTCATAATTTAGACCTGGAATGGAATGTGACAATGCTTACAGTAAAGTTGGGGGGGAAACCAGTTAGTATATTGATCGTTTTGGAAGTCTGCTTTGTCATTTTATGAGGTTAGATTCCTATGTGAGAAACCTTCAATGAAACAGGTCTTTGCCATAGCTTTATGCAGTGTTGCAGAAAGCACAAAGAATGGATTTGTATCCACTACTGACCTGCGGCAGTACTGTCCCAGAATGGTCAGTGGAAGGCGATACTGCTTATTTATAATTCATCATCCAGATAGTTCAAAAGTAAAATTATCGTTTTCAAATAATTTTTCTGATTGGTTGCATAACAGCAGGTTATCTGAAGGAAACTTACGGGAATTAGTGAACTAAGTAGATTGTTCGGTTCACTTAAAGCCACCATCAACTCACAGTGTAACGTGAATTGTCTTTGTTATAAATGAAGTCATTATGGACTTGCCCTAAAGGTCTTTACTTCCGTCTTCCATAGGACAAATGATAAGGACTACATACCTTATCTCTTGGGTTATTATTGAAGTCTTGCATTCGTGATTATGAATTTAAAAGTAAATACTAATTATGGGAATAGTGCTAAAGGCTTGTCACGCATGAAACATAATTCTGATTGGTTTAAAGTCCCTTTGTATACAGTGCTATGTGGTTTAGATGGAACATATATCCTCAATGAGTTTCAGGGAATTTTACTAATTACAAAATGCAATCAATTTAAACTATATAGGTTTAAGACTAGCCCCTTGGATAGGCCCCAAGCTAATTTCAGATTATTAAAATTAGCACTGTAAATCAGGATGAGTAATTCATCATCTTTCTGAACCTACTGAACTATAGGTTCCAGTGAAGTGTTCTGCTGAGACTGAGCACCTTACAGATAGTTTTCTCCAGAAGATGGTACTGGGGCAATAAAATCATCATGATTAGGGAACTGTTACTGGTCCCTACTGTGGCAGATAGAAACTTTTGGAATCCAGTTTACTGAGGAAAATATAGCAAAACTCAAATTGAGACTCTAGGTTTTGTTTAACAACCTGTTTCTGGTATGAAACTGTGACACTATCATCTAGGCAGGAAACAATTCTTTAAGTAAGTTGGGTTTCCTACATAAATGGGAACTAAGGTGGGATTTAGCCCTTCTAGACAAAAGAAAGGATCATTTGGGTTTCACGAGTATTCCTGTGCTTATGCTCAGTCTGTACACACGTTTTCACGCATGTCTAACCTGATTTACCTCTTACCTGTAATGTACCTTACCATGTGGCTTTCAATTGGCAGTCACTCAGCCATTTCTAGGCAGGTACAGTACTACCTTTCAGAGTTCATATTGGCAGGTATAAAAAGATGACTAAAGCTGAGGACAAAACCACATACTACATACCAAGCTATTTCTTTCTTCCTTTGCGGTGCCAAACTTGCACATTGTACCCACTCAGTAACAAGTTGTGTTGGGACATAGAGAACAGCCAGACTCAGCTCTGAAAGGTAATACTGCCTGTGAAGAAGTGAGCCGGCAGTGACCTTTGCAGTTGTGGATCTTGAGCTGTGCTCTCAGCAGATTTCAGGTGTAACCATTTGTTAACTGTACTGAAGGTGTGTCCTTAAGAAGAAAGTGTTCAAATTAAAAAAGCTGCTGCCGAGTATACTGTGTGGTCTTTTCCTTTGAATCCTAGGGTTCTGTTCTCCTTTGGAGTCATAGTTCTGGCACTGCTACTTTAAAACACAGCTCTTACTCTTGTTCGTATATGGAGAAGACTCAGTAGGGTTCATGGAGATTTGGCAGTGTGCAGCTGGAAGTCTGTGTTCCTGAGCCCTTGCTAAATACAATTATAGACTTGAGTTATACAGCACATTACAATTTTTAAATAAAAGCATTTATTCAATAATTATAAAACAAATATTAAAAAAGATGAACCACACCAAAGGTCTTCCGAAATGCCTCTTTATAAATTAGATAATGCTCCGTTTGTTTTACAGTATGGGTCTAAGCCTTCAGTGATGTTAACTTCCGTTGTGAATCTGCTCCTGGTGGTGTCAGAAGTTTACGTGATTGCGGATATCATTGATTTGCTTCACCATTTCCCTTATGTGTTCACCCCTGTAAAATCATAAAGTTCATGTTTGGAAATCCAATGAATGAGTAAGCCATTAGTACAGATTCTTAAGAATTTAAACTAGTAATGTTGACATATCTAAGAACTGCTTTGCTGGGCCGGGCACGCCTGTAATCCTAGCACTCTGGGAGGCCAAGGCGGGAGGACTGCTTGAGGTCAGAAGTTCGAGACTAGCCTGAGCAAGAGCAAGAACCCATCTCTACTAAAAATAGAAAAAATTAGCTGGGCGTGGTGGCACATGCCCGTAGTCCCAGCTACTTGGGAGGCTGAGGCAGGAGGATCGCTTGAGTCCAGGAATTTGAGGTTGCTGTGAGCTAGGCTGACACCACGGCACTCTAGCCCGGGCAACAGAGTAAGACTCTGTCTCAAAAAAAAAGACCAAAAAAAAAAAACAACAAAAAAACCCACAAAAAACTGCTTTGCTAAAATTCACAGTTGAAGGTTTCACATGGATGGCAATGGTATTTACTAGTTAAGGTGACAAACACTGGTGCAAGTTCTGGAAATATTTTTGAACATATTGTGATATACCTTTGATCATAAAACAAAATCATGTTTTAGGAAGGTCATCATTTTTGATCCTCCCACCATACTCATTTCTTAAGTCCCTGTCATGTGACTCTCATCCCAGTAATTACTTCACTCATGAGTGCCAAGACTCAGGTTTCTAATAAGACAGATTGATTTGGGCGTACTACAAGGGAAAAACTATCACAACAATAGCTGATTGTAAGTATTTACTTACTCCTCCTTCAGGATGGACTGAATGCACTTTCGCTGGTAAGCACTGAGAGTAATGGTGGGTTTTTGAAGACTCAACACTTTTTCCATCTTTCGCTGTTGATAGTCTTTTTTCATAGTAACCTTAAGCAGCAAACAGAACATAGATATTTCAGCTATGGTTTGCCACACATTTTCACAGTATCTGTTTTAGTAGGTAATTTTTACACTTTATAAAATTATTTTCTGTAGAACAAGTGCTTAAAAGTAAGTACTGAATTTAGCCACTTTGCATCCATTCCTACCTGTTTGATGGCATTGCCCAAATGTCGAAGTTGATCAGGAATCAGCTGTAATTCTTTCTTCATGTCTCGTTCACTGTCAGAGAGAACTGGGAGCTGAGAGTGAAAACTGTGAAGTACTTTTTTCATCCTTTAGAAAAGGTAAGCAAACATCTCAGCTTAAGATCTCTATTAATTAGGAGAAACATAATCACAAATAAAGCTTGTAATTCATGACTCTGGTGTATGTGAAAGAGGCCCCCATATTCCTATAGGGTTAGGGGAAAGCATCATGTCTTCCCTAACATACACGTTAGAGAAGGAGGGGAATCAATTTAATTCTGTAGGTATGTGAGGACCCGTTAAGGCCTATTTTCCTAATACCACTGGTAATGCCTAAGTACTTAATAGCATTGTTAGTACCTGAGTAGGAAACTATGTCATACAGCCCACTGACCTGTTCATGATATCTTCTTGTTTTTCCTTGGCTTCCTCATATTTGTCAGCTAAGCGTTCAGCCATTTCTCGCAGACTTTTCCTAATGGCATAAGAAACAAGATTCTTTTTTTTTTTTTGAGACAGAGTCTCACTCTGTTGCCCGGGCTAGAGTGAGTGCCGTGGCGTCAGCCTAGCTCACAGCAACCTCAAACTCCTGGGCTCAAGCGATCCTACTGCCTCAGCCTCCCGAGTAGCTGGGACTACAGGCATGCACCACCATGCCTGGCTAATTTTTTCTATATATTTTTAGTTGTCCAATTAATTTCTTTCTATTTTTAGTAGAGACGGGGTCTCGCTCTTGCTCAGGCTGGTCTCGAACTCCTGAGCTCAAACAATCCGCCGGCCTCGGCCTCCCAAAGTGCTAGGATTACAGGCGTGAGCCACCATGCCTGGCCAGAAACAAGATTCTTGGCGTCCACCTAGATGTTGAAGCCAACTGATGTGGCTCAGCCCCTTAGGGAGAGATGTAGTTCCAGTCTTAATTGATTTATTGGTTTCTTCTCCCTGGTTTTCACACTTACCTCTCCTCTCGACAGTACTTGAGATCTTCTAGTTGTTTCTTTTTTTGGTCACATAGTAATTTGACCCTTCAAGAACAAATAAAGTTTAATCAGAAGCCAGGTCTAGGCTGTTACACATCAGCTACCAGCCAGGGACTGATGGTTTGTGAACAGAGGACGTCATACCTCCGCTGAATCTCTTCCTTTGCCAGGTCCTGTTTAAGAATGTACTGTTCTCTGAACACCTGGGTGGCTCTGCTGATGAGCTGAAGACATTCTTCAGGAGGAGGGGCTATATCCTTTTCAGATGATCTTAAAAACAAAGTTTCTACCATTATTTTCCTTAGCTGAGTAAAATAACTGAAAACAGACTCAAGTCATAACTGCTTTTTTCTCCCTCTATTCACTAGCTGATTCAGTGCCCTGTGTTTCTCCCAACTCCACCACAGTAAAAAGTATAAGACACAGGGGAGGACAGAAAGGATGCACAGCAATTATGAAGAAGAAGAGAACTCAGTTTTAAAACCTCTATGCCCAAGATCCCATACTTCAGAAATGCTGGATTGGCAACACTACGTTGCAAGATGCTTCTAATATGCTTTTCAAAGGAATCTGGGGTTTCAGCCAGAATGCGGAGGGGAGACTCTGCCACTTCAACATCTTCTCGGGTACAAAGCAGGGGAGGAGATGCTGGATGGACTGTACTTCTGCAAAATAAATAGATAAATAAATCCATCGAAGTCTACCATGGAATGATTTATCGTAAGTATCATAGGAAAGCATAAACCACATTTATTCAGAACTTTGAGAACGTAAGAAACTATAAGGTGTTACTTTTATTAAAGTATAAGAATAGATGTTTTGTACTTTGAAAAGGTCACTTAGGGACGCTACACCCTTACTTCACCAAAGCTGCCATTTCTCAAAGCATTTTGGACTCTGCCACTTCAAATTCTTTTTGAAAAGATCAAGGCAGCAAAAAAATACAAACCCATCGTAGCCTTTTCACAAAGGACTTGAGAGCCAGTTTATAAGCCAGAACCACAAACCTAAATAAATTGTTCATTTCTTTTCTAGGTATAGTTTAGATTTGATCAAAACCAATGTTAACATACTACTATATATGCCATATTTGGTTCTATACAACTTGATTTCTAAAATTACATCCATTCAAATGCAAATATTCAAAAAGAATTTCAGAAAGAGCTTGAAAGATCTCAACCTTTGGCAGCATCAGTAAGTGACTTACTTTGAAGGCAACAATTCAAATTTGGAAGAGTTAGACAGTAACATTACTTTATAGATAATGTGTATTTCAGGCAGATGGGCAGAAACATATGATTTGAAGATATTCAAATAATTAATGTTTATTTTTTCCCCCTTTGGGATTCACATTTTTATTCTGAAGTAACCTAGTGTGACTAGGTTTTATTTTACTAAAGGTAATACGGGTTTTTAAAAAAAATATGCTGCGGCAACTGACAATTCTTTCCCCTGTGATTTTATTATTTTTGTTTAATCTTGCTATAGTTTTTAGTGTCTTTTAGTATAAATAACACAAAATTGATAATCGAATTATTTATTTTCCCTTCCAAATAGAACTTGTCAGTTTTCAAAGAGCATGGAAGATCCTCTAAGGACAGTAAATTAATGCCAGTATTCTGAACTAATGTCATTATCCAGAAGCGCATGCTTTGAACTGACCCCAAGAGACTGGAGGGTCTAGTGTTCAGAGGTCCTGGTGACTTTTGGTTTTGGTATTTCTATTCTTGAATTTATATAACTCAGAATGACCTCCCAGAGCTCTTAGGAAAGGAAAATGGTGATTATAGCTTAATATCTGGTTCCTTAAGGGGACCAAGGACTAGGAGTTTAGCTTTATACCACTTTTCTTCCAGAGTTTATATATTCTATGGTTCCCCTCTCAAGTTGGCAGAGATGGAGAAATTAAAGAGTGTAAGTATGGACTTTGGAGTTGGTCAGACCTGCATCTTAACTCTGTGACTTCAGCATTTACTTAACCTCTTGAGCCCTGTTTCCTCTTCTAGAAAGTGGGGATAACAGTGCTTTCCTTACAGGGCTGCTGTGATGATTCCAGGAGGCAATGCAATGGCTTGCTTCTGAGCCTGGCACACAGAGCTTGATAATCATTAAATCTAATTCATATCAATAATGGAGTTTTGCATTACTGAGGGCATCTTCCCAGTTTAAATTCTACAGAATTAATGAGAGCTGTGTGGAGAATACAAAACAAGACGTACAATAAAGGCCTTATGAGGCATTCGTAGGTACTGGTGATGCAGATCATTGTGGGCCCCAGAATGTCAGGGACAATCCAGAATCCTCGAATTGGAGCTGGCTGCCTGAAAAAACACAGTTACAGTAAATTACAAAGCAAATGCAATGAAACCAAGAGCAAAGATGGGACTGAGGTCTGCGGTCTTCTCGGGTTGCTTGGGACAGGCTATCTATCAGTGCAGTAACCTCAAAAGTAGTGACTTGGAAACTTGTAATGCAGCTCTGCACTTAACAGTCCAGAGCCCATTTCACTAAGTCACTCAGGAATCCATAGCCATACAGTGGTACTCACTGTAATTTCAGCAGTTATGAGTTACACTGAAGTCCACTATTTATGTCTCTCCCCAACTTGCACCTAAGTCCCAGCTAACTTTGTGTGCCTCACCCAATGTCTAACAGATTAAGTGCTCAGAAACTGTTAAATGAACAGAATTTCAGAGTCTATCTCACATTAAACATTCAATGAGGCCCAATATCTATGCCATGGGACTTCATTTAGTGTGCATAGCATGCATCTCCCTCTCAATCTTCCTTCCTACTTCACTAAAGAAACTGAAAACTGTGGCCCTCATCTGGGAACTGTCTTCCTGCCAATACACTCCCTTACTGGCCCCCGTGCCCCTCCCACCTCTGTACCCACAGCACGTTTCTGCCCCTGAATGTGGATGTCACCCCCTCTCACACCTTCTGAAGATTGTACCATCCACTGTCATTTCAAAATCTCCTTATTGTCTATCTTACAAAGAAGCTCATGTCTCTTGTATTCAAAACATTCTCCATTATAATGCCCAGTTCTCCTTAATCTATTCTCCTTTTCCCTTAAGAACCAGTAGCCTTTAAACAGTAGTTGACAATACTAGTTCCCCTTCTGTATTTCCAATTCACCTTTTTTCCTGAGGGCAGGTGGATCTGGGAGGTACTAACATTTTAGTTTTCATTATTAGTGTGAGACATACACTACTGAATATATACACTATGTGTATATATATTATATAACCAGTATTACCCTGGTCAAGAGTTAGGACACTGCAGTTTCCCATGTGACCCTCCTGATCAGAGCCTTTCACATGCCGTAGAAGTAATCACTAATTCTGACTTTTATGACAGCATGTCCTTGCTTTGCTTTATAGTTTTCTTACCTATATATTCATTCCCAAGCAAGCCTGTTTAGTATTTTCCCTGCAGTCGTCTATACTGCCAAATCTAGACCACGTTTCTTAGTGTATACTGAGTGCCTCACGTCTGTACACTTGGAGTCTAACAGAGTGCCTCGCAGATACTCAGTAACTGATGAACAGAATAAAGGGAAGTGTCTAAAATGACTCCAGGTTTCTACTGGGGATAACTGGGTAGATGTGATACCCTTCAGAAAAATGGGACATAGGGAAAAGAGCAGACTGGGGAAGACAGAAGATGAGCCAAGGGAACATCTGGAGTTTTATGTTCCTATAGGACATCCAAGTGGAGGAGCCCAGTAGGCAGCTGGATATACAGGTCTGGAGTTTGGAGTGGTTTGGGTAAAGATGATATGGATGTGGAAGGATCAGCACTGCAGCCATGGTTATGGCAAAGGTTACTCAGGAAAGGGCCTAGAACGATTAGAGGAGACCTGAGGAAAGAGTTGTGAGCAACACTTATGAGCAATGAGTGGAGGCTGTGGAGCCCAGCCCAGGAGGGAAACTTGAGAAAAGGGCTGCCAGAGAAACTGAAGGAGAACCTGGAGGGAAGGATGTCAAGGATGCCAAGGAGAATGTTTCGAAGAGGTGTGGGCAACAGCATCAAATAAGCCCAGCAATACAGTGAAGGGCAGATGTAGTCTCTGCTTTCATGAAACGTATTCTAGTAGTGGTGACGGACATTAAACAGATATAAATTGTAATATGTGCTGCAAAGAAAAAGAGAATAGGAGAACCTTAAGTTAGATTGTGACTCAAAAGCATTCTCTCTGAAGAAGTGACATTAAGATCAGAAAGAAGAGTAAGTTAGCCAAGAGAAGACAGCAAGCTGGGGGTAGGGCTAGGGGAAACACCTTTCAGACAGAGGAAACAGTAGGTGGAGTGGCCCTGGAGCAAGAGAAAGCTTTTGATGAACAGGATACTCTTAGGGAAGAAGTGGCATGTCTGCAAATTACTTTCAAATGATTCAGCAATGAATCATTTGTATGTGAGCATAATGTATATATATGTATCTGAATTACTGAAATGAACAATTGTTTTCTGTGTATACAAGGGAGAGGAAGGTCCTCACCTGCATGGCAATGGCTTCGTACAAAGGATGTGTTCGACAAAGCATTTCTGTTCAGTAGCAAGTTCCTGTAAACTATCTTTATCTTCTTCATCTATAAAGGAACACATTATATAAATTAACTGATGCTTAGACAAGTCTCCAAATCAGAATGCTAATGATATTAGTTAAATTAGATTAAGTTCCTGTCTCAAAACACTGCTTCTCAAGGACTAATGCCTTTCTGACATATAGAAATATCGTTTCCCCAGGGGTCTAGATTTCTCCCCCAAGAAGGAAAGTAAGATTTTCCCTAGTAAGGTTTTTAAATGCAGAAATGTTTCACTGAGGAGAACAATCCCAAAAATTATTCCCTTCCACAGTCTCTTCCTTACTAACACTGATTTTTATACGGGCTGTGTATCCTTTATCCAAAATGACTGGGACCAGAAGTGTTCCAAATTTTGGATTTTTACATATTTTGGAACATTTGCATTATACCTAGTGGTTGAATGTCCCTAACCTTGAAAATTCAAAATCCCAGATGTTCCAATGAGCATTTCCTTCGAGCATCATGTCAGTGCTCAAAAAGTTTTGGAGCATTTTGGATTTCAAATTTTCAGATTAAGGATATTCAACCTGGAACGGCTTTTTGAAACATAATTCACAGTATCGTACAAATCACCCATTTAAAGTGTACAATTCAATGGGTTTTTAGTATATTACAAGAATTATACGACCATCACCACAATTTAGAATAGTTTTGTTTCCCAAAAATGAAATACCCCCATACCCATTAGTAGTTACTCCCCAATTTCCACCAGCTTCCCCTAGGCAATCACTAATCTACCTGTAGATTTGCCTATTCTGGACATTCCAAATACATGGAATCATATAATAAGTAGTTATTTGTGACTGGCTTCTTTCACTGAGCATGTTTCCAAGATTCAGCCATATTGTTGCATAAATCAGTACTTCATTCCTTTTTATTACTGCATAATCTATTGTATGGATATATGACATTTTATTTATCCATTCATCAATTGATGTACTTTAGGGCTATTATGAATAATGCTACTATGAACAGTCATGTACCAATATTTGTGTGGACATAGGTTTTCATTTCTCTTGAATATCTGGAGAATATTGCCATTTAACAATATCAAATTTTCTTATCCATGAACGTGGATTTCTTCACTCAGGAGTAGAACTGTTGGGCTTCTGGCAACTCTATGATTAATCATTTGAGGAACTCCCAGACGATTTTCCAAAGTGGCTGTACCATTTTACCTTTCTATTAGCAGTGTATGCGGGTCCTCATTTTTCACAAATGAGGATCAGCACTTGTTATTGTCCATCTTTTTCATTTTAGCCATCCCAGTGGGTGTGCAGTGATATCTCATTGTGGTTTTGTTATCTCATTTCCATAATGACTAATGACACTGAGCATCTTTTCATGTGCTATTTGTATATCATTGATGGAACAATGTCATGTAAATCCTTTGCCCATTTTTTAAATTGGGCTATTTATGTTTTTATATTTAGTTCTAAGGGTTCTTTATATATTTTACATCCAAGTCTGTTATAAAATATATGATTGGCAAATAATTTCTCTCATTCTGTGGGTTGTTTCCACATTTATGATAGTGTCCTTGACGGACCAAAGTTTTTAATTTTGATGATGTTCAATTTATCTATTTTTTTTTTTTAACACAGAGTCTCACTCTGTTGCCTGAGCTAGAGTGCTGTGGCGTCAGCCTAGCTCATAGCAACCTCAAACTCCTGGGCTCAGGCGATCCTCCTGCCTTAGCCTCCCAAGTAGCTGGGACTACAGGCATGCGCCACCATGGCCAGGTAATTTTTTCTATATATTTTTAGTTGTCTGGCTAATTTCTTTCTATTTTTTTTTTTTTTAGTAGAGATGGGGTCTCACTCTTGCTCAGGCTGGTCTCAAACTCCTGAGCTCAAGCTCCTGCCTCAGCCTCCCAGAGTGCTAGGATTACAGGCGTGAGCCACCGCGCCCGGCCTACCTATTATGCTTTTCATGTCATATATAAGAAACCACCACCTAATCCAAGATCACAAAGATTTATACTTACGTTTTCTCCTAAAAGTTTATTATAGTTTTACTTCTTTCATTTAGGTCTTTGATCCATTTTGAGTTCATTTTTGTGTATGGTATGAAGAAGGGGTATAACTTCATTCTTTTGCATGTGAATATCCAATTGACCTAGCACTATTTGTTGAAAAGACTATTCTTTTGGCTGGGCGCAGTGGCTCATGCCTGTAATCCTAGCACTCTGGGAGGGGAGGAGGGCGGATTGTTTGAGCTCAGGAGTTCGAAACCAGCCTGAGCAAGAGCGAGACCCCGTCTCTACTAAAAATAGAAAGAAATTAATTGGACAACTAAAAATATATAGAAAAAAAACTAGCCGGGCATGGTGGCGCATGCCTGTAGTTCCAGCTACTCAGGAGGCTGAGGCAGGAGGATCACTTGAGCCCAGGAGTTTCAGGTTGCTGTGAGCTAGGCTGACATCGTGGCACTCTAGCCCAAGCAAGAGAGTGAGACTCTGTCTCAAAAAAAAAAAAAGACTATTCTTTCCCCCACAGAATTGTTTTGGCACTCCTGATGAATCCAACTGAATGTAAATGTAAAGGTTTATTTCTGAACACTCAAATTCTATTCCATTGACCTATGTGTGTATCCTTATGCCAGTATTTACACTGTCTTGATTACATGGCTTTGTTCTTGTTTGTTAAGAATGTTTTGGCTATTCTGAGTCACTTGCATTTCCGTATGCATTTTAGGATCAGCATGTCAATTTCTACAAATAAGCCACATGGAATTTTGATAGGGATTACATTAAATATTTAGCTCAATTTGGGGAGGACTGCCATTTAACAATATTATATTTTGTGATCCATGAACATGGAATGTTTTTCAGTTATTTAAATGGTTTTATTTCTTTCAACAATGTTTTATAGTATTTAAGAGTATGTTTTATACCTCTTTTGTTAAATTCATTCATATTTTATTCATTTTGATGCTAGTGTAAATGGAAATGTTTTATTAATTTTCTTTTCACGTTGTTCATTGCTAGTACATAGAAATAGAAGTGCTATTTGTATACTGATCTTGTATCCTGCAAAGTTGCTGGACTTATTTATTAGTTCAAATAGATTCCCTAAGATTTTCTATATAAAAAGATCATGTCATCTGAGAAGACGGTTTTACTTTTTCCTTTCCAATATGATGTCTTTTTTCATTTCCTTGGCTAATTTCCTTATCTAGAAATTCCATTACAATGTTGAACAGAAGCAACAAGAGCAGACATCCTTGTTTTGTTCCTTATCTTAATAGGGAAGTATGGAAAGTGGAACATGTAAACAATTAAATTGGACACTTTCCAAGCACAGTGTTGAAGGTGCAGCCTGGTTTCTTCTTGTTGATTATAGTAAGATAAGAGGAAACACATAAATGAGGAAAGAACTGTTAAACAAAAAGGAACAAGGACTTGATGATTTGGGAAATTCTCGGCCTATCTAGATGGCAAAAGATGCTACAATTAAGAGATTCCCTGTCAGGAAAGGATGCTCTGGACAAAAAGCCATGGTGTGGCTGTAACACTTTCTGTTTATACCTCAGAAAGATAAAAAGATAAGAATAATAAGTCACACAAAGGCTCTTTGAAGAGATTAAAAGTGTAATTTAGATCATTCAGCCATCTCAGCGGAAGCAGAAAAATAGATATGGGATTATCTATCTAGAAAAGATCTGTAGATGAACCTCATGTCTACTACAGTGAATCCCTATGATATATAAGGGAGACCCAAAAAGTTCTTGAGAATTTTATAATAACAGAAGCATTGTTGGTTTAGACTGAAAAGGTCAGAGAGGAGAGAAGGCCCTTAAAATTCTACAGGCAGGAAATAGGCTGGTAAAACTACTTAACTACAAACAAATGTGACCTTTCTAAAAAATGAAAGATGACTCAGAGGGCAGAGCTGTAAGCCCTGAGGTTAATCCCCAGGACTTGAAATCTACTGGAATTTGGATTTTGCAATTACTTGGATTTGTGATTCCTTTTTCTCTTCCACGTTCTCACCATCTGCACTGGATTGTCTGCAACTAGTATCCTATTCCTTTTCCACCATTGTGTTCTGGGAGCAGATAACTTTTATTCTAGTTTCTTAGGTCCACAAAGAATTTTGCCCCTGAGTAGATTATACTCAGAGTCTCACCCATACTTGATTTAGATGACATTTTGAATTTTGTGTTGATGTTATAATGAAACTTTTGAGGATGTTGGGATGAGGTAAATGGATTTTGCATTTGGGTCAGATGTGAGATAATGGACTTTCCAAAGATGTTCATGTCCTAATCCCCAGAACCTGTTAAAATATTAGGCTACATGGCAAAGGAGAATTAAGGTGTAGATGGAATTAAAGCTGCTCATCAAATGGCTTTAAGGTAGGGATATTATCTTTGATTATTTGGGTGGAGCCAATGTTATCACAAATTTCTTTAACAGTGACACAGGAGGGCCCACCTCCTGTAATCCTCGCGCTTGTGGAGGCCAAGGTGGGAGGATTGCATGAGCCCAGGAGTTTGAGACCAGCCTGGGCAACATAGCAAGTCCTTGTCTCTACAAAAAATAAAAAAATAAATTAGCTGGGCGTGGTGGTGTGCACTTGTAGTCCCAGCTACTTGGGAGGCTGAGGCAGGAGGACTGCTTGAGTCCAGGAGTTTGAGGTTTGCAGTGAGCTGTGATGACACCGTGGCACTCTAGCCTGGGCAAAAGAACAAGACCCTGTCTCAAAAAAAAAAAAAAAGGTCTGAAGGTGCATAATAAAATTAAACTAAATTATCTTTACTCTTCTCTCATGGAACTTGGTGTGATGTGTTATGCTGCTGCTGCACTCTAGCCCGGGCAACGGGGAAAAACTCTAGACCCTGCTCAAAAAAAAAAAAAAAAAAAGTGAATCAAGGAAGCAGAAAAGGTCAGAGTGATACAATGTGAGAAGGACTCAACTCATCCCACTTTCGCTGGCTTTGAAGATGGAGGAAGGGGGCTACAAGCCAAAGAATGTGGTAGAAGCTGAAAAAGGGTAGGAAATGAATTCCCCCCTAGAACCTCCATAAAGGAAAATTGCTCTGCAAATTTAACCCCAGTTGAGACCCATGTATAACTTCTAACTGTAAGATAATAAATTTGTGATGTTTTAAAAAAGTAGGTTTGTGGTAATTTATTACAGCAGCAGTAGAAAACCAACACAGAAAGCATTCAGTCTTTTTATTATTAACCATAGTGTTGGCTGTGGGTTTTTCATGGATGCCTTTCATCAGTTTGAGGAAGTTCCTTTCTATCCTAGTTTGCTGAGAAATACTCAAGGCTGTTGGATTTTCTTAAAATGCTTTATCTGTGTCTATTGAGATGATCATATGGTTTTTGTCCGTTATTCTACTGATATACTATAATACATCAGTTGATTTTTGAATGCTAAACTAAGCTTCCATTCTTGGGATAAATCTCACTTGGTCACAATGTATAATCCTTTTTATATGTTGCTAGATTTAGTTTGTTAATAATTTGTTATGAATTTTTTGCATCTATATTCTTAAGAGATATCTGCCTGTAGTTTTCTTTTCTTGGCTGTCTTTGTTTGGATTGGATATCAGGGTAATACTGACCTCACAGAATGAGTTGGGAAGTATTCCCTCCTCTTCCAATTTTTTTTTTTTTATTTCAGCATATTATGGGGGTACAGATGTTTAGGTTACGTATGTTGCCCTTGTCCCCCTTCCCCCCTTCCAATTTTTTTGGAAAAGCTCATGAAGAACTGGTATTAATTCATTAAATGTGAATCCATCTGGTCCGGGCTTTTCTTTTTGGTCAGTTTTTTGATTACTATAATCAATCTCATTAGGTCTATTCAAATTTTCTATTTCTTCTTGAGTCAGTTTTGATAGTTTGTTTCTTTCTTGGAATTTGTCCATTTCATCTAGGTTATCTAATTGGCATAGAGTTGTTCACAGTATTCTCTTACTGTCTTTTTTATTTCTGTAAGGTCAACAGTAATATCTCTCTTTCATTCCTGACTAGTAATTTGAGTCTTCTTTATTTCTTGGTCAGTCTAGTTAAATGTTTGTCAGTTTTGTTGATCTTTTCAAAGAACCTTCTAGATTCACTCATTTTTCTCTATTCCAAACTACTTTAATGGAACCTCTGAAACCTTCTTAAAAGTACAGAAAGTTAATAAACTTACCTGATGCAAGAAATTTGTGAAGTTTATGAATCCACGTCAGCCCAACACTGTGTACACCAGCTTCATGAGTACAATGATATCTTGAAGGGCACTTGGGATCTGAAAATGGAATCATTAATGATATAAAGGTGCCATTAGAAAACTGAAAGAATTTACACCAGTAGCCTACAAACACATTTGTTGATGGAAGGCTTATAGGACTTTTATATTTGGCACTGTTAGGGGCTTTGAAATTAAATTTCTTTTTAATAAAGACAGGGTCTCACTGTGTTGCCCAGGCTGGAGTGCAGTGGCACAATCATAGCTCACTGCAGCCTGAAATTTTTAAATTTGAAGTCAGTTTTCAAATATATTTTAAGTATAGGCATACCTCGGGGATATGTACCATTGCAATAAAGCTAATATCGCAATAAAGCAAGTCACACAAAATTTTGGTCTCCCAATACATATAAAAGTTATGTTTACACTATAATATAGTGCTAAGGTCAACAGAAGAATCTTATTATTGGGATGTAAAAGAAATTTTGTTATGAAAATAGGAAATTTGTTAGATACCACCCCTATGTTATATAGTAGCCATTTCACTTTTGTCACTTGGGAAATCTGGGTGTGCTTCAATGATTATAATATGCCTTAAGCACAAATATGAACAAGTCAAAAATTTCTTAGTTTCACAAATGAAAATGTTACTCTTATTAGGAAAACCAAGAAAAAAATGCCTATACTTAAGATTTCCCAAAGATATATATATCTGTATAGAGAAACCAATTAGTTTCTGTCACTTTACCTCACTAGGTCTGTTTCCTCATCTATAAAGTTCTTAGACTTAATAGTTAGACTGTATCTCTCAAACACTTTAATTAGACATGCCCCATATGAGTTCTCTTTGCTATTTTATTACACAAGGAATACTACCCCCTTAAATGTTTTGGCTATACTTTAGCACACAGTTGAAGCCATTACTACCAAACCTAGGCCAACTGGCTAATGAGAGGTATAAGCACATTAGGTCAAACTGCTACCAGATTGAAATCCTTCCATGTTGCTGTGAGTGATGGAATTTCACTTTTTTTTTTAATGGCCAAATAGTATTCCATTGTGTGTATGTATGTATACATATATCACACTTTCTTTATCCATTTATCTATTGAGGGACACTTGGGTTGATTCTGTATTTTGGCTATTATGACTAGTACTGCAATAAACCCAGGAGTGCAGATACCCTTTGACATACCTGTTTCTTTTCCTCTTCATATGTACCCAGTAGTGGGACTGATGGATCATATGGTAGTTCTACTTTTGATAGGACCAGGAAAAATTTACTATTATAAATCTGTGTGGATCCAGACTGAAAGTATATAGTAGTGAGTGAAAGGCCAAAAGAAGCCGGTCAACTTTTTAAAGGCCTGAACCACGGGACAAGTAAATTACATGTGAACAGTCTGTGATCATCTTAGTATAAATATTATGGGATAAAAGCACTAAATTTAGTGAATATCTTACCTCTGTGAAGTTTGATTGGACAAGAAAAGTCAGAATCAAAGGAATCATCCTCTGCAGATGCCAGTTTCAGAGCAAGCTCCAACTCAACACATTCAAACACATACAGAGAAGGAATGAGGTCAGCCCTGGAATCCCAGGACTTTTCTGACTGTAAAAAAAAAAAAGTGTTGTAACAAAGATATGGTAGATGCCTGAGGTGACGGATGCCTCAATTGCTCTGATTTGATTAATTCACATTGTGTGCCTGTATCAAAACATCACATGTACCCTATAAAGACATACCCATAATAATTAAAAATCTTAAAAAAGTGTTGTAATTTTGATTTTGCATGTCTATTTGAAAATGTACACAATTAAAAACAAGCAAAAAGCTGGGTAAAACAGTGCTTTCAAATTCTTCTTAATTCCACTACTATCCTAAAGGTGCACTGTTATTCTTTTTTTTTTTTTTTTTCTCTTTTGAGACAGAGTCTCACTGTCTTGCCTAGGCTAGAGTGCCGTGGCGTCATCATAGCTCACAGCAACCTCAAACTCCTGGGCTCAAGCGATCCTCCTGCCTCAGCCTCCCGAGTAGCTGGGACTACAGGCACACGCCACTATGCCCGGCTAATTTTTTTCTATATATTTTTAGCTGGCCGATTAATTTCTTTCTATTTTTGGTAGAGATGGGGTCTCGCTCTTGCTCAGGCTGGTCTCGAACTCCTGAGCTCAAACGATCCGCCCTCCTCCCCTCCCAGAGTGCTAGGATTACAGGCGTGAGCCACCGTGCCTGGCCGCTGGGCCATGTTATTCTTAAAAGAGAAAAAAAAGCTCTCTCTTCTTTTAGGAAGATGTTAGTAAATGAGTTTGGAAAAAAACCAATTCCGAGATTCAAAGGTTCTTTATGTCTATCACCAAAGACTAAATATAGAGATCAGAGAAGAAATACGTAGGTTGGTGGACCAAGTAAGTTAGGCAACCTTCTAACTTTTACATTTAGATTGTTAAGTGTGCTTCAATTACTTTTAAGTGTTTAATTTCCAAAATATCAGAAGTGTTAGATATAAGCTAAAATTCCTGATTATGTTAAGCAGTCGCATTGGGTCAGAAACTATACTAGGTGTTGAAGGTACAAAATATACTCACAACTAGTCTGTACTTACTGTTTGGTCATCTTCTTCTTCCCCTTCTAGCACAACACAGTGATACAGCATTCCTGATTCAGTAGCAATCACTAAGATGTTGGGCACACAGGGTAAGCAGAGTATAGCACAAGCATCATAACCATAGTTATCTTCAGCTGCAGGATGCATGGGCAATGGGCCCAACAGCTTTCCAATATTCCCAGGACTAAAGGAAGAGTGAAAACATATTTGGGAAATGTTGACAAAAGATAATCATGCTTGTCCCTTAAAATAGCGGTCCCCAACCTTTTTGGCACTTTGTCTTCCTCCAGCTATCATACCCCCATTATAAATGTAGTATATTCCCCATGTTTCCACTTTTTTGCCTTCCCACTCACATTCCACCACCATTCTCAACCAGAAATAATTTTGGCAATGTCTGAAGACATTTTGGGTTGTCACAACTGAGGGTTGGGGGAGGTTACTGGCATCTAATGGGTAGAGGCCAGAGATGCTGCTAAACATTCCCCCACAGGACGGTCCCTACAACAAAGAATTTTTCAGACCAAAATGCATCATGCTTTTACCATTCCACTGAAGCTAGGCCACCCATGAGATTTGCTAAATCCAAAAGGCACTTAACTTGACCTTCTGATGCATTTATCACTAGTTAACAATTACTGCTGCTTGACATCCTTAACACCTGTAACAATTCTTCCTTGTAGTTCTCTCTCCTTTCTCTCTGAATATACCTTTCTAATGTCCTTTTTTAATTTCTGTCTCTTAAATATTGGTTGTCCTCCACAGTTCTGTTGTAAGCCCTCATCTTTTTCCAAAATTTACACTTACATGAGAGCATATTAAACTATGCGTGGTTTTAACTACCACCTATGTTCTGATGTTAACTCCTAAATCTTTTCTTCAGAAATGTAGCTTCTCTTCAAGGCTTTGGACCCACATAGTTAATTTGACTAGACAGACACATTTATTGAGTGCTAGATGATACCTTCCAATGAACTGACAGTTTAGTTACTGAGGCAGACATTTAGCCAGAATTACTATACCATGTGGTAAGTGTTAACAACAGAAGGATTTATAGGGTACAAAGGAACAACAAAAAGGTATAAAGACATTGAAGCAGGTATTAAAGGTATCAAAAATATGTAAGATAAATAGGGAAAGAATGATTTCCGGGAATGGGGGAGTTCAACATTCCAAGCTGGGGAGCAACTTATGCAAAGTCCTAGAAGCATGAAAGACATGGAAGTAAGAGGAAGGAAGCTTATTTAGTATGATGAGAGGCAAACTACAAGGTCTAAGGCAACAGAAAAATAGCTAGACAGATATCCAGGACTGGCTTATGAAGCAGACAATCTTGTAGGCCATGTTAAAGTATTCAAAGTCTATCTGCTGGGTGAGTGTATCACTAGAGGTTTAAATCAAGTGACAGAGCTTCACTTTGCAAGGATCAGTCTGGTATTAGTGAGGTGGATGACACAGAAGGGTCCAAAATGAGATTCAGGGAAACTACTTAAAAGAAGAATGATCTAGGCAGAAGACGATGAGGTTCTGAAGCAGGGACAAAAGAAGGCAGAGAAGCATATATACATTCCAAATATTTAGGCTGGATGGCTCATGCCTGTAATCCTAGCACTTTGAGAGGCCAAGGTGGGAGGATTACTTGAGCCCAGGAGTTTAAGACTAGTCTGGAAAAAATAGCAAGACCCCATCTGTAAAAAAAAAAAATAAAAATAAAAAAATTAGCCAGGCGTAGGGACACATGCCTTTAATCTTAGCTACTTGAGAGGCTCAGGTAGGAGGATCATGTGAGTCTAGGAGGCAGCTAGAGGCTGCAGTGAGGTGTTAATGTGCCAGTGCACTCCAGTCTGGGTGACAGAGCAAGACCCCATCTCTTAAAAAAAAAGGAAATTTTCTTCATCAAATCAACAGAAATTTGGGACTGATCAGATCTAAGATATAGGTGACTTTTGGGTTTGGGGCCAAATTTACTAGGTAGATCATGTTGTGGACAAATGAGGGCCCAGCAGTAAGAGGAGGAAGGGTAAGGGGGGCTAATAACGGTACCACAAAATCCTCCTGTGAGCGATCATATAAGAAAGGCAGAGAACATTTCTGCCAAGGAGAATGCATTCAATAGTGAATCCTTACCATTCTGCAATGTCAAGCTCTTTCGTATTTCTAATCTTTATCACTTCCCATGCTTTCTTCTCTTTCTTGGAACCACTTCTGCTTCTAATTCTATCTAGTGAATCCTTTAAGTCTAAAACCTTCTGTATTACCACTTCCTCTAAGTATTCCAAGATTGGCAGGTCTAATCATTTACTCCATCAGACTCCCTCAGCACCCTGAGCACATCACATTTTATTATAGTTATTAGTTTAGTTGTATGCCCTCCTGATGGACAAGGAACCACATAGCAGGGACCCTGTCTTTAATCCTGTATGTCCTTCTTCTGCCACAGAGTGTGCTCTGAATAAGTATCTGCTGAGTTGATTTGTAAGTGAATAAACTCTAATGTTCAGCCCTTGGCCTTAGGCCTCTAGAGTTACAAACTTCCCCAAAATTCTTATCCTCTATTGACTCTCTCACCATGACAGATGATTTGCCTATCTCGATTTTTGTCCTCCTTCATTGTCCTGTATTTCCAACTATCTATGGAATATTTCTACTTTATTGGTCCAATACCGGTCTCACACTGACCATCTGTAACAACAACAAAAAAAGAATCTTCCCCCCAAATTAGCTGCCTTTCTTTTTTTTTATTTCAGCATATTATGGGGGTACAGATGGTTACGTACGTTGCCCTTCCCCTGCCCCAAGTCCGAGTTTCAAATATGTCTGTCCTTTGTAGCTGCCTTTCTTGACCTCGATATTTCTATGAATGATGTACTCCCTTATCCAAACAGTAACAAAATCTTAGTGATCCTTCCTTTGTAGTTATCCACTATATTTCATTTCTCCCTTTGCACAACTACCACTCTAGTCCAAACTCTTGTAGAATATAAGCTTAATTTTGTAACAGCTTCTTTATTTTTTAAGAAGCAAGGTCTCACTCTGTTGCCCAGGCTGGAGTACAGTGGCACACTCATAGCTCACTGTGACCTCGAACTCCTGGGCTCAAGTGATCCTCTTGCCTTTGCCTCCCAAGTAGCTGAGATTACAGGCATGTGCCACCATGCCCAGCTAATTTTTTTAAAAAATTGTTTTTAGAGAGGGAGTTTCGCTATATTACCCACGCTGATCTCAAACTCCTGGCCTCAAGTGATCATGCTGCCTCCCAAAGTGCTGGAATTACAGGCACAAGCCACCACATCCAGCTCTAGCTTTATCATTTAATGCTCCCCACATGAATCCTCTGCTCTAGCCCAAAATGTCTAATCATTGAATCCTGAATGAACTTGCACTGGGTTGTTTTTTACTCTACTTTATGCTGACCTTGTGACTGAAATGGTCTTACTCTTCCTTGATGCTTCATTTCATCCTGCATGAGACCTTTAAGTCCCATAAGATATCAGTCCTTCTTTATGAAAATTTTCTTAACTTCTCCAGTCAGAATGATCTCTCCTTTCTCTGGGTTCTTACTGTCTGTGTATCAATAATGTGTTATAGGTAATGATCTTTTTGTGTGCATATGGCTTTTTTGCTACTACTGGGATATAAGATACTAGATTACCACGTCTAATCATCCTTATGGTGCCTTGCTCATATAAGTTAAACGATAAGTACTTTTTCGGCTAACTAGACTTGTAAACACAAACTCAGTCCTATCTTAAGTGATTATCCAAAAATTCTACAGAATTTACCCAAATATGATGAAGTGAAAAGCCAAATGATCTATACAAACTCTTTCTCCAAAATATGCAAGTCAAGCATCTGAAGGCTGCAACACTTCCCCAAGGCCAAAAACATGGATCCCAAGTCCAACCATGAAAATCTCTACTGGAGCACAAACTGAATGTTCATTTTAGGTGGGTTACCCCTTCAACTTACCTGTGTAGCAGACTAACATATGTCAGGAAAGTCTCCCCATTCTCATATAAGATGTACAGTGGGTACGCCACTACTTCATCTTTGCCTTTTTGTCCAAAAACATTCTTTGGGACTGCTGCCAATGGCCCAAAGTCAAATGCAACTGCTGTCTCTCCTAGAGATGCAGTATATGCCCTTCTGGAAAGAGATTTAAAGTATCAACATAAAATAAAGTTAAAAACAAAATGTCTAATAACAGAAGGTGGGTTATGTATGGAATCTGTATTCAATGCAGTAAAAAGATAAAAAAATATGATTGTAAAGAATGTTAACACTGGCAAATTCTCATAAAATTAAGTGAAAAAAGCAGGCCATAAAATTATTTGGTGCTCCTTTAATTTTAAACAGTTTAAATATACAGATACACAAAAAACCAAAATATACAAATATATACATGCATACATGGAAAAAAGGAACAGGAAGAAAACACATAAAAACATCAATAGTTATCTCTGAGCAGCAGGATTCATTGGTTCTACAAATACTTACTAAGCACCTACTGTTCCTGGTTTTGAGAGAGAGAAGAGAGATACCACAAACAGAGAAGAAATAAACATACAATACAAATTCAGAAAATGTCACAAAGAAAAATAAAGTAGGGTGAGAGGGTACTGATGGAGTGCTACTTTAGACTAGATGGTATGGAAAGGGCTCTGATGATATTTGAGCAAAGATCTGAAGGAAGTAAGGAAACAAATCTGTGGTTATCTGAGGAAGGAGCAGCTGAGGTGGAGGGAAGAACACATGCAAAGGCTGTAAGGTGAAAGGTGCTGAAGGATGGCAAGGAGGCCAAGGTGGCTGGAGCCCATAGAGAGAAATGAAGCTGGAGAGGGAGTCAGTTGGCAGACTTGTGGGCCCTTGTAAGCCATGGTAAAGACCCTGGGAAATCAATAGGGTGTAGAGAGCAGGGGAGTAGAATGATCTGATTAAACTGAAAGTACCACTTTGGCTGCTGTATTGAAATAGGCTATAGGAGATTACAAAAGATTTTCGTTTTCTTCATAATACTTTATATTTCCCAATTTTCTATAGTATACATTACCTGTCTAATCAGGAAGGACAAAAAACTATAAAATCATGCTGTTCATACATTTTAAAATTTACTATAATTGGTTATCCAAAAAGATTCCAGTTCAATACAAGGTTAAAGAATATGGTTAAAATAAAATCACAATTTCATATAGTTGAGACAGTCAACATCATTGCAAAGTATTATAAATACTATATCTTAGTTCCAATCACATAGAAAGGTATATGGTATCAGGAGGTAAAAAATGAGAAAACCCAAACACTAGAATAAAAGAACTGCCTGAGTTAAACTAAAAATTCAAGAAAATGAATGGGAACAAATAGACGTAGAAGTTAATTTAATGAGACTTAAATGACTCCCAAGCCATCAAAACTTAACTGGAGCTTAAGAAACATAGTAATATATCTAATAATGGTACACATTAATTAGTTAATTAATATTACTCTGTACCAAGTCCCATGAATAAGCACTTCATGTTTGATCTCATTATTCTGTACAATACCCCTAAGAAACAAGCACTATAATTTTTTATATTCATGAAATATATAGTCATGGAAATGAAGCTTAATGCAATTGGAAAACTTGCCCAGCTACAACTGGCAAGTGGCAGAGCAGAGATTAAACCCCAGGTGTGTTGACACCAGGGCCAAAGCTCTCAACAATTGCATTTGCTCTACTGACTGTGATCTAGACAATGTGCCTGTGAAAGGAAGTTCATCAGCTCTGAACCACATATTAGAGGAGAGAAAATGCCCTGATTCAAGAACAGGACCTATCAACTCCCAGAGGCAGGTATTTCACCATTGTAGAGATGAACACACTAGTTCATCTGCAATTTAAGAAGCTGGTGCTATAAGGCATTCACATCATTTAAGTGAAACTTTCAATTCTAGGGCTGTCAAAGAGACCTGAAGTGGTTCCAGGTCAGTAGCAATCCCTGGCTCCTGGCAGCAGCAGATGCAAATCTTCTCTAGAGGAACATACCTCCAATTCAGGCTCTCGATATTCTCAAACATTAAGATCAAGTAAACATAAGTTCACAATTAGCAATCACAAGGAACCCACCATGGTTATGGGTCAGAAGAAAGAACAAATACAGATTTAGATTCCTCCTAAGGATTTCAGATATTAAAACTGTCAAATATAGAATAGCTAAGTACAAAATATTCAAGGAATAAAGGTTAGAATAACAAAAAATAAATAAGACCATTAGATATGACCACCACAGAGACATGAAAAAAACTAAATGGAACTTCCAAAAGTGTTGCTACTGAAAGTTTCACTCCATATGCACACACTGTGGGTGATTATGTGTGGTAATCACCAGAAAGACTGACCAGGAGGCCAGAGGAATGGGGTTTTTCAGTTCAAAGGGTGACTCTATTAGTGGTCAAAGTAGCCAGGAACTTGTCCCTGTAGTGGTTAAGAAAATATAAAAAGAAGCAAGGGTCACAGGAGAATCAGAAGGGCTATCTATATTCCACTTCCAGGTTTTGGGATACAGACACTGGTCTGGGAGTTCAGCAATCTGCCTTATCCACATTGAGTGAACAGCTGGTAGGCCTCTAGCCCAGCACTCTCATCTTTCACCTTTTCTATAATTTTGCAATTTTATGATGTATTCTCTTATACAAGTTACAACAAGGAATCAGTTTCTGCCACTCACATCTTAGAACTTTCTTTAAAAAAGATCAAGCTAATAGTTACAGTGACATTCAGATTTGTACCTTCTTGTTACTTATTCATATTGCCTATTTTTGCTTACTTCTCACATTAACAAAAACATACGTAAAGTCATCTCTGGAAAACCTTGCAATCTCTGTTAAAATTACATTTATAATCCTAATAAACTAATTTAAAAAAACATTTCATGTACAAATAAAAACTTACCGTTTATTGAGTATTAGACTTTCCTCTTCTGCTTCCGAAAGTACAATCACCTTAGCTGGTACCTGGGGCTCACACAGAGAGTAAATTCTAGTAGTCAAAAGAGAGGAAAACCAACACTTAAAATTCTCCTTCACTTCCCAAAATTGCACTTTCCTCTCCATCCAGTTAGTTCTTGAGAATTTTCCTACCACTTACCACAACGATTTCTTTGCCAAAGACCTTGCTGTAACTGACAAAGTAGCCTACTTCATTTGTTCTTTAACTACATGAGATGGAGGTTTCCTCAACCTGACAAAATGTTCTCTATCCTTACCAAAATTCTTTAATAGCCTATCCATACCATTGCTCCTCTGTCTCTTCTGTCCTGAGCCTTCATCCATACTCACCTTGTCTAGTCATCTCCCTACTGACCTTAAGCTTGCCAGTTTCCTTTCATCTATACCCATCTGTCTCTGCCTAGTGAACACCAAATCCCACCAGAGAAGGAACCATATCTGATTCTGATTTATTTATTTTTAGAGACAGGGATCTCCCTCTGTTGCCCAGGCTGGAGTGCAGTGGTACAATTATAGCTCACTGCAGCCTCAAACTCCTGGGCTCAAGTGATCCTTCTACCACAGCCTCCCAAGTAGCTGAGACTACAGGGGTATACCTCCACGCCTGGCTAATTTTTAAATTTTTTTGTAGAGATGGCATCTTGCTATGTTGCCCAGGCTGGTCTCAAACTCTTGGGCTCAAGCGATTCTTCCACCTCTGCCTCCTAAGTAGCTCTTACTCTTCTTTATATACCAACTGGCCAGCAGAGTGAGTGACATTTAGCCTGCAATCTGTCTATGTTTTTGTTATATAAAGACCTCATATGCCAGGCATGGTGGTGTGTGCCTGTAGTCCCAGCTATTCAGATGGCTGAGGTGGGAGGATCCCTGGTGCCCAGGACTTCAGATCCAGCCTGGACAATAAAGCAAACTTCAACTCCTAAAAAAAGGAGACCCAATATTATGTCATCCCTGTTTTCTTAAGGAGAAGTACAAAACAGAATGTTTTTAACCAAATCATATTAATTTAAAGTGATTTATATTTGACAGCATATATGGCTATTATTAAAAGGAGAAAGAATTTTCAAAAGGCCAGTAATGTCATTATTAGAAATTCCTTATAAAGGGATTAGAAATCCCTTATAAAGGGGTCAAAATGTCCCTTATAAAGTCTTCACCAAACTACTTATTTTGTCTGATTCCACTAAGAATTTTTAAACTTGGTTTTGTTCCATTATCAATAAAATACAACATATATATTTACTAAATATTTTTAATGATAATTTAATTCATTTGAATACATATTCATTGTGGTCCTCCTAGGTGCCTACAAGCACTACTGACTTCAAAATATACATGAATAATAGACAGTAATATTACGCTGGGGAGCAGTGGGGAAAAAAAGTAAGTGCAACAGGGCATTCAGTCAAAATCTACTTTTGCCTAGAAGTTGTGAACAGGGTCCAAAGCTTAGGAAAAGAAAAGTGTTAAGTACCCTGTATTTTTTTTTAAAAACCCTTTAATATTTGGGGACAGATACTTCCTTCAGGGCTTAATTTGAGGAAGAATTGTATCTACACTATCTTCCCACCATCTCCTTTTCCAGCATAGTATAAAAGGGAGACTAAGAGAGGGTGTCAAAGAGGCCTTAGGAGTACTGTATAATATTTGTAAATGGGAGGATTTTCCCTCCCCTCTTTCTCCAAAGCCAAATGGATAGGCAGCAAAGGCTCTAAAACACTCAGCCAGATTTGGAGGTACTAGTGATAATTTTGTTGCATTTCCTACCTGAATGCCTGTTAGTCACTTTGAAGTTGTCTCAATCAAAAAAACTGTATACACTGAGTTCAGTACTATCCATAGTTTCAGGCATCCACTGGGGGGTCTTGGAACATAGCCCCTGCAGATAAGGGGTATTATACTCTATCTTGAGAAAGGGTTCAGGGCATGGATAGCTGACAGCAGCCAGTGGGAGACAGAGTTCCTCAGTCATGGGGGGAGCTGGAGGTTAAACACTGCCCTCCAAAACACACACACACCATCTGTACAGAGACTACCACACCAACGGAGGTCACTAGCAACAAATGGAACTAGAGTAAACCAAGATCAGGCATACCTCCCCATCACTGAGGGAGGGCAACCAGTTAGGTAACATCTCTGCCTCACCTATCCCAACCTCCCTTTCCCCACTCTGAAGGAGTCAGAGGAAGGAAGAGCCAGCTCCACTCCTTACACTTCACCACATACCCCAAAGTGCTGGGATAGGAGGAAGAGTAAAAGAGCAGACCATACCCTCTCCACTCATTTCAGATCCCTTAAGACACAGGTCTGACCTATGAAAGAGCTAGGACACATTTTGAAATGGATTTGAGATCAGAGTTTTGAAATGGACACACTAAGTTTTAATAACTAAAAGTAACTAAAAAGCTATGGGGATCTGTATAAGATGCCATAAAGGGGATCAACCATTCAACAGGGAAAGAAGATTTGGAAGAGCACAGTTAAAAGCAGTGATTAGGAAAAATAACACTGGAAGTATTTGTTAACCTCTGTTGAGTCCTCCCAATAAACTTTTTACATAAGGCAGATCCGGAAAGTTAACTGATAACATAGCAGAAATCTAAGTAGGATTAGGGCATTTAATCATAGATTGCAAACCTTGGAAGCAGCTTTAGAGATTATCAAATCAAACCTGCTCAATTTATAGATCGGAAGCTGACCACACCCACTCTCACTCCCCAAAAAAGAAGTTCAAGATCTCAAAGATAATAGAAGTGGCATTGGGACAACAATTTGAATCTTTCAATTTCTAATTATATTCTCTTTCCTCTGTGCTACATCATCACTAAAAGGGTGATATGATGAAGAGTTTGGGAAAGATTTTTCTACCAGTATTTACAGGTCAGATTAGGAGAGACTTGGAGGCAGGAAGACTAGTGGAGAGGGAACAGTAGTAATAGTTAGGTGATTCTTATGATCAAGAATGGGTTACAATAGCCATCAGATAAAAGCATTCCAACATTTAATGACTCATTTGGTGCTATGCTGAGCTGTTAACTGGCAAACAGGAACAGAGCCTTCCCACTCACAAAGCTACAAGAGAGATAAAAATAAAATTTACCTTATTACATTGTCTGATGTTAACAGTACTATGTGGGGATCCAGCATTTCACTTGGATACCAGGCAGCATGCTTCAGAGTCAGAGAGGTAGAACTGGTGAAAAATCTCTCAGCAATTGGAGTGGTACTAAAATAAAGATAACATTTTTCCAAAACATTTTGTAGAACTTGGATAAAAAACCTTCTAAAGGAAAATCTATTTTAACACTCTTTGCTTTTTTTTCTTTAAATTTCTTTCCCTTAAATCTTGCTGAAAGAGCATTCAAAGCATCTATTCAATCAATATCAAAGAATCAAAACAAAAATATTTTTGAAATTATAGCATATTTTATACGGTACAAGTGTTTTCATATATAGTATCTTATTTGATTCTTTTACTAGCCTTGTAAGGAAACTACAAGGGCAGATACTATCATTCCTATTTTGAAAATGAGGAAACAGATTTAGAAAAAAAAGTTTGGTCAGGCACAGTGGCTCATGCCTATAATCCTAGCACTTTGGTAGGCCAAGGTGGGAGGATCGCTTGAGTCCAGGAGTTTGAGACCAGCCTGAGAAACACAGCAAGATTTCATCTCTATGAAAAAACAGAAAAATTAGCCGGGCATGGTGGCACATGCCTATAGTCTCAATTACTTGGGAGGCTGAGGAAAGAGGATTGCTTGAGCCCCAGGAGTTTGAGGTTGCAGTGAGCTATGATGACACCACTGCTCTCTAGCCGAGGCAACCAAGAGAGACCCTGTCTCTTTAAAAAAAAAAAAAAAAGAAGAAGAAGAAGAAGGAAGAAAGAAAATAAACAATTTAAGGGGACTCAGCTTACAAGTTGTGGAGTGAAAGGTGAGTTTTCACCTTATACTGATGGTCCCCGACTTACTATGGATAGACTTAGGATTTTTCAACTTTATGATGGGTTTTTATCCGTCATAAGCTGAGGAACTCCTTATGACTTACAATGGGGTTATCCATCACAAAGCCAAAAAATCCTCAGTTGAACCATCCTAAACTAGGCACCATGTGCTGTACTGTCAGCATTAAATGCATTTCCAACTTAAAAAATTTTCCACTTACACTGGGTTTATTGGGACATAACCCCATCATTAGTTAAGAAGCATTTTCAAATACAGCTATACCACCCTGAACATGCATAATCTTGTCTGTATTCTTTTCAGTAGATCATTAATAACCATTTTTCTGGATTTGTTGAAAAAGATATTATATAAAAATAAGACCTAGATAAACTTCTGAGCAAACCTGTGGCTCACAGAATAAAATCGCATTTTCAAATACAGCTATACCACCCTGAACATGCATAATCTTGTCTGTATTCTTTTCAGTAGATCATTAAGAACCATTTTTCTGGATTTGTTGAAAAAGATATTATATAAAAATAAGACCTAGATAAACTTCTGAGCAAACCTGTGGCTCACAGAATAAAATCTTATTTTTACCTAATTGAAAAAATGGCCTAACTTCCAATGAGACAGGGATGTAATAATTCAGGCAGAATAAAAGTACAACTACACATATACTATAAACATTAATATCACAAGATGCCAGTCTGCAGACCACATGGAGTGCTCCAATGTTTCAACAGTAATATACTAAACACACTTTAAGAACCACTAGTTTTGAACAATTTTCTGTATGTATTAAAATTTTTTTTTTTTTTTTGATACAGTCTCACTCTGTTGCCCAGGCTAGAGTGCCATGGCATCAGCCTAGCTCACAGCAACCTCAAACTCTTGGGCTTAAGCAATCCTTCTGCCTCAGCCTCCCGAGTAGCTGGGACTACAGGCATGCACCACCATGCCCGGCTAATTTTTTCTATATATTTTTAGCTGTCCAATTAATTTCTTTCTATTTTTAGCAGAGTCGGGGGTCTTGCTCTTGCTCAGGCTGGTCTTGAACTCCTGAACTCAAAGGATCCACCCGCCTCAGCCTCCCAGAGTGCTAGGATTACAGGAGTGAGCACCATGCCCGGCCTGCAAATTATACAGATATACACTAAATGGAAATAGAACTTACCTACAATTCACTATTGATTTTCCGCCTTCAAATTCAGAATTCTTCCCCCATCTTTTAGGTAATTCTAATACCATAAGTCCTTTTATTCCTATAAGTGCTGCGTGATGTTGTGTTGGACTTAACAAGACTTGATAGATCTCAAACAGGGGTGGATTTATGCAAAGCAATCTCTGGAAATTAAAGCAAACCAATCAAAATAGTTAATTTTAATTTAAATATATGCAACAGTTACTTGAATGTGTATATGTGAATAGTAATGCTTTAGTTTTCTATAATTATAGGATAATGAAGCATTCTGGATAAGTACTAACATTTGGACCATTAATTGATGAAATACTTTTAATCATTTAGGTTGGGATGTTATATAAAATGAATCAGATTTCTTTACCTTGATAAACAGAGACTATTAGACATAATTTTCCTTCTTATGATCCAGCTTCTGCCTATCATTCTGGTTTTATTTCTCTACCATTCTCTCCTTGTACTTTACAGTCCAATCAGATTAGCTTATATTTCTCGGAAATCATGCTTTGCTCTGCCTCTGTATCTTTGCATACCTGTTTCTCCTCCTGCAATGCCCCTGTTTTTCTTTTTTAGCTGGCTAACAAGATTTACTTATTCTTGGAGACCCAGCTTCTATGTATTATACTTTCTCCTCAAGAAAGTATCTATGTTCTTGCCAGGAATAACTGCATCTTTTCTGTACTTCTATAGCACACTCTGGATAAATCTATTATAGTTCTTATCACACTGCATTCTAACTATCCTTTTTACTTGTTCATCCCGCACAACTGACTATGAATTACTTGAGATTTGTATCTTTCCTCTCTGTATTCTTAGCATTCTGGCACATTGCTGACTCTCAACAGATGCTTAGTAAATAGACGTGAACTCAGAAGTATTAAGAAATGATAATTCCTATGTTATAAATAGTACAGTAAGATAAAGAATGGCTTTAAGAGCTTCTGCAGCAAGCAGAATGCTGCTTTACCTATGCAGACTTAGTGTGATATTTTCAGGGGGTTCTGATAAGTTATTTGTCTCAGCATCATATGTCCTCAGAATTCACTTCTGCTGATACTTCCTATTTCTTCTCTCATGACCATTTCAGATTCCCATTTTATTTCTTTCTACTTTCAGTAATGCACCATGAGAAATACACCACTGTTTATCCTATATATGAAGAATCAATCTAAGCCAAATCCTTTTAGATGAGACTGTTCTGAATATAATGAAATTCCTACTAATTGCTACTGATGTCTGAAACCTGGTTTTTTGGTTGTTTTTTAGTTGCCCTTCGCTGATTCTAATCACATTGTTTTTTCTTGTCAGTGATTCTTTCCTTCTTTCCTCCATACTCAACCCCCATCTTCTTCCTACCTGATTTTGATAGTCTAACTCAAACCAAACACAGGTCACCTTTCTTCTGCTACATATACAATTCAATCACATTAGTTCATGACTGAACTATGATAATCACAGTATTTTGTTGTTGTTTTCTTTAAAGTCACTACTCATACTTTTTTTTAACATTCAAAGTTATAGCTGCTGATAGGCTGCTTTCTTTCCAATCTCTGAGTTTTTGAGATTCTGCAGGATTAAGGGTTATTCAAATAGCCACCAATATTTACTGGGAACTTGTATGTTTCAGGTATTCTGTCAAGTGCTGAACATACAAAAATGAGTAAAGCAGACACAGTCCCTGCCATAATGCTTACAAAAGAAGACAGACAATAAATATTTATAATTATAAATAATTAAATTATGATTGTGTCAAATGCCACATGTCAGCAGGGTAGGGTACTAGAATACTGTGGGCTGAACATTTGATAATTATTCTTAACTAAAATTTTACAGTAGGTAGATTGTAGACTCTTGACCTATTTTTCAAACTGCAGAAGTATTGCTAGCATCTTGTTAAAAGCAAATTCTCAGCAACAAGAATTGGACAGTAGCACAGATGTCATGCCTTATAGAATGAGTGCCAAGATTTTTATTTATTTTTACTTTTTAATCTTTAAAAGAAAAGAATCTATTACAAATAAACATTTCCGTAAAGCCAATATTTGATCACGGCAAGTCTGGAATACTTTCTGATCACACCCGTTTTCACATGCTGTTGGCTTATCAAAAATAAAAATCCCTTCCCACTTTGGGAATGGCCTAATTATCTAAAAGACGAAAAAAGAAAAAAAAAGGCTACCTCCACCATATCAAGAGCAAAACCTGGTGTTTTCAAATCTACTATCTGACTTGATGCTCACAACAACCCCAAGAGAAAGTTATGATTATACCTGTTAGTTTATCGGTGTCACGTAATCAAGTAAGTTTCTCTTCACCAACCTACTAAAAATAGCAACTCCGCCTACACATTCTCTATCCCTTTACCCTGCTCTGTTTTACTTCGCAACACTTAACCATCACTGATATTGATTATTTCACGGTCCTTCCCTTCTTCCCAGGCCTCCAGAACTTAAGCATCTTGAGAGCATGAATTCCTATAATAGTGTCTGGTAGTGTCGGAGTCATTAAACATTGGCCCAAGGAAAGAAATAAGGAATCTGAGGCTCCAAAAGGTTATACGGTCATGCTGGAGCGGAAAAGAAATAAGAGTGAAGGACTTTTCCACTTGAAGTGGGACGTCCCCGGAAAGACGTCAGCTTACGCCTTAACAGCACACCTACCAGAAGACGAAAAACAGCCAAGATGAGAAGGGAACAAAAAAACTAGTTCAGATCCCGGCCAAGGGTCACTTCCAAGAGCTGCCTGGCCGTACCTGGTACTGGGAGAGGGGCGGTTCCTCACCGCCACCGCTGGGACCCCGAAGGCGAACGACTAAGAAGGAGCTGCCTTCTCCGTCCCATAGGAAGAGCTCTCCGCCGAGGCCGAAGACCAAGTTTCTCGTCAGCAACGGCAGCGGCAGCGGCGGCGACGAAGGTAATGATGAAGAAGCTGGTTTCTCAGCCTCGGCTGGGCTCTGGTTTTTCAGTCCCTCCCGGAGCCGCAAGAACACGACATGGCTAGGAAGCCAGGTCTGCCACACCTCACCGTCGCCCACGGGTCCTTCGGCAGCCGCCATCTTGGCCCAACTGCTCTCCTCTCTCCAGTTGCTCATCCCGCCGCTGAGCGCAGCCAATCCGCGGCCAGCCGTCTACTGCTTCGGCCAATTACCGAGCAGGCGGTCCGGAAGCACAAGAGCTCGTGCTAGGGGCGGGACGAAGGAGCGGCCAGCCCATCAGGCAGGTGCATCGTCAGAGGAAAGCCAATCGCCAGTCTGGCATTTATTCTGAAGCCACAGGGGGCGGGGCGAGAAGTCAACAGAACAGTACTTGTGGAGAGAAAGCTTTGGTGCTGCAGAAGTGTAGTATCTGGGGAGAGTCTGAGACCTGTGTATCTAATTGCCTACTGGACACTTCCACGCACCCAGAACTTTCCTTCAAGACTTATCTCCGTCAGTGCAGGTTGGGTTTACTTCACAAGTTTACTTCAGCCAGCCATCCTTTGGTTGCCGGAATCTGTCTTCATGTGGGGCCGGTCGGTAAGACCACACTTCCCAGAATTTCATGCGATCTAAGTGCGGTCAGCGCCCAGAAACAACCGCTCCCAGAGTTCCGTGCGCGCCCCTAGCGGGCGGTGGTTTTGTTGGCGACTCCGGCAAAGAGGAGATGGCAGAGCCGTCGGGATCTCGGCACCGCTCGTTGTACAAGCTGGTGGGCTTGCGGCCTTGGAAAGAGGCTTTCAGGCAGGTGAGGGTGGGGTGCGGGCCGTGGTTTTCTCCCCAAACCACTCGCAGGGACTGCTGTCTTCTTTGCCTTCGCCTCAGCCCTGCTCTGTGAAGCAGGTGCCGGGAGCGCTTGGCCAGCGGAGGCGGACCTAGAACCCAGACCTCCTGCCTGAAGGTCTGGGTGTTGGCCACCACCCCGCCGCCTCCAGGAGTGTTTGGTCCCCTGAGTGTGGGACTAGCCTAGGTGGGCTCAGTCCCAGGAAGCCTTTGTTTTTGGATTTGGGTGTGTTTTAATTTTGAAGTGTGGTCATAACCGTACCCCTTTGCACCTCTACAATAACACCACCTACTGTCGTTGGGTAGGTGGGCACCGAGAGAGGCACTTTGTGTATATACGTCATGTGAGATAGAAATTATTTCTGTTCCAGAGAGTAGTACACTGAGGCTCAAAAGAGCCTTCGTTACTAAGTCTTAGCAGAGTTGTGCTCTGCCTCAGTTCTGGCCTCCTCTGAACACAGATGGGTGCTGGTAAGTAATGTTGCCTATTTCTCCAGGCATCTCTAAAGCAGTGGATGTATCCCAGGAAAATAGTCTGACGCTAGAAAGATTGTGTACATCAGGGTTTCTCGGCCTTGGCTATTGGCATTTTGAGGGAGATCATTTTTTGTTGTGAAGGGCTGTTCCGTACATTGTAGGATGTTTAGCAGCATCCCTGGTCTCTACCCACTAGATGCCAATAGTACTACAACCAGAGATGTGACAACCAGAATGTCTCCAAGCATTGTCAAGTGTCCCCTGGGGATAAAATCATCCTGAATTGAGAAACACTGTTGTACAGGAAGGCCATTACCACAGCCATATCTAGAGTAGAAAGAATTTGGAAGCAATATAAATGTTCTGTAATAGGACAGTAGATGCTGAAATATTATACACCCAGCCATTAAGGAAGCTGGCATAGAAGACAGGATATGAAATATGGTGATCTAGAGATACATGAACAAAGCACTGTAATTTTATGTATCTCCAAGTGGATAAGGACTGGAGGGGAATATGCAAAAATAACAGTAGTTAGGATGATAGTTGAAATTTTGTGTCTATAAATTTCCTTTAATGTTTTACCAAGTAATCTAAGAGTTTTTGTGTGTGTTTTTTTTAATGGAGTTGCCCCCACCCCCTCCTGTCTTGCTTTTTTTCCTCTCTCAAGAGATGCCTGGAGAGAATGAAAAACAGTCGGGCCAGACTCCTGAACAGGTACCGCCAGACGGAAGGCAGTATGCCAGGAAGAGCTCAGAACAGCTTTCTAGTGCAAGAGGTGATGGAAGAAGAGTGGAAGGCTTTGCAGGCAGGGGAGAACTGTCCAGAGGCTTTGGCTCAGGTCAGTCTGGGCTATGTGTTTTCAGGGAGGGGGACTATACCACCAAGAATTAGTGTCCTCTATACCTGTTTATGCAAGTCCTCTAAGCCCAGCCCCCAGCTCCCAATTAGAATTCTAACAGCTTTTAACTCAGGCTCATCTACCTTTAACGTTAGGCTCTTCTATTATTATAATAGATCAATGGTTCCTTAGTACCCTCCTGTAGACCTGCCGCATCATTGCAACATCATCACTTATGAAACTAAAAAGAAAGAAATTTTGTTTTTTGCCTTCACCTTTGGAAATTATTCAGTAGATATCAGCTAGGAATCTCTTTTTAAAAAACTCTCCAGGAACTTTGTGATTCTAATTTCAACCAGAGTTGGGAACTGGGTATGGATAGGAAACCATTTACAGTGTATCAGGAAGAGCACTGGATTGGAAGCCAGGAGTTCTGTATTCTATTCCTGATTTTGTTCTTGACTCTTCTTTCTGCCTCTTTGAGCTTTAGTTTTCATATTTATAAAATGGAGAAGATAATGTTGTTCAAAATGTGAGTACTATGTAAGAAAACATGTGAGAAACTGCTTTGAAGCCATCAAAGCAGTTAAATTGTGAAATGTGATACTACATAACATTTAATTTTAAAGTGACATGAAATCAATAAGACTTCTAACAAGTTTCAGGTTATGAAAAAATGCACAAATACAGCTTGAAACCTCTTTGAAAGCTCAGTAGTCCCTCAATTATACACATTACTGCAGCTCATACTACATTCTCCAAACATGTCTTGAGTACCTACTATGTGCTAGACACTATTAGGTGCTGGAGTGAACCTAATAGAAGCCATGTGGAATGTCCAAATAATGGAGAAATATATAGCCATATTACTATATAATGCATTAGTCAGTGGCTTCTGTGTGTCCTGTAGTATGCTAGGGTTTGCCTTTCCATCACCACAATTAGTGCTGACAATAACCCTCTCAGGTAGATTTTATTCCCACTTTACAAAGGCCAAAACAGAGTTTTACAGAGATTAGGAACTTTCCTGTGGCACACAGCCTTGGAAGAATGTATACTTAACTACTACCCTATACTGTCTCCCCAAAAATTGGTGCTGTTATTTTGTCATGGATAGTTTAATCATTTGTTGGTGACTTAGCATGACCACCTTATCCTGTAGTCAGCATATTCTGCAGGAGGACTGGATTGATTTTGTCAGGTAAATCTGGGTTCTTCAAGCCATACTTCTTCCAGGTATGAATCATTGTGGGACTTGGTGGGCTGATTATTACTTCAAACCTCTGATGACTCCACTGTCTCTTGCAGTTGGAGGAGGTGATGGACCTGGCTGTACTGGAGGAAATCCAGCAAGAGCTGATTGAGCAAGGTAGTCCTTCCTACCTGTATTTAGCTACTCTAATGCTGACCTTTCCTTCAATCAGGATTAGTTCTTAGCTCCGCTCCTTCTACCTCCATCTTCAGTCAAGTGGCCAGAAGGCTCCGTTTGTACTCTGAAGTCTTGGCTGTCCATCTTCCCAATAATAAGGGTCTTCAGGGTACTAGGCTTTGTGCTAAGAACTTCTCATTTCATGATATTGTTTTCTCCTGTGACTACTGTACAAGATAGTACTATTTGACAGAACAGAAGGTGGTGTTCTCATGCAGATCACACAGCTAGTAAGTGGTGGAGCTGGGAAGCAAAGTCAATTGTGTGATTCTAGTTCCCATGTTTATTCTACTATCCTGCCTCTGTCTTAATAGGTTAATAGTAAATCTGCCACTTTACAAGATACAGTGCATGGTCAGATCCCTTGCTCCACCCAATTTAAATGCCCCCTCTCCCATCCATTCTTTACTGACTCCCCAGGGTCTTGTGACACTCGTTGGGGTGTCCATAGCACTGTGTAGAGTGTATAATTTACCAAGTCATTTATTCCACATATCTTGTCTTGACTAGGCTTCATTTTTATCACCTGTAGAGATAATAGACCTACCTTATAAGTGTCTTGTAAGGCTTAAATAATATATATAGAAGACATTAGAGCAGTGACTGGCATATAGAAAGCTTTCAATAATTGATAGCTATTGTTACGGGGAGGCAGAGGCACGTACTCTGGAGCCACACTGCTAAGATTCACTTCTCAGCTTTACCACTTGACTGAACAAAGCACTTCATTTCCCTGTGCCTCAGTTTCTTCATCTTTGGAATAAGGATAATAACAGTGAAGAAGTAATACATGTAAAGAACTTAAAATAGCATTTGACACATAGTAAATTCTATGCAAGTGTTAGTTGTTGTTATGCTTGTCATTGACTCCAGTTAGACTGTAAATTCCTTATCTTTTTTTTTTTTTGGGAGAGACATGGTCTTGCTCTGTTGCCCATGCTAGTCTCAAACTCCTAGCCTCAGACAATCCTCCCATCTCAGCCTCTCAGAGTGTTGGGGTTACAGGCATGAGCCACCACACCTGGTCAATCTTTTTTTTTACTGATTTGCCCTTCCCCCACCTATAAAACATATCTTAGTGGTGAAATATAGGACTCACTAAGTATTTATTTTGGGATATATTTAAAAACTCTGAAGTGATAAGGATTTACTGTGTTGTGCTATACTCACAAAAAGCCATAAAGAACATCTTACATCACGGGTTGGCAAACTTTCTGGGAAGGGCCAGATAGTAAATATTTTAGACTTTGTGGTCCATGCGGTCTCTGGCACAGGTACTCAGCTGTGCTGTTGCCGTGGAAAAGCGGTTATAGACACTATGTAAACAAGAGTGTGGCTGTAGTTTGCTGACCCCTGCCTCTACACTGTGGGCTCACAAGGGCAAGAGTCTTTTTCATCCGCATATCCCTGTGACTAGCACATACTAGGTACTGTTGCATGTTTGTTGAATGAATGAGCACACAGATTCTGAACAACATGGATTCCAAGTATATGGACATTGGGAAACACATCACTTTAGGCTCAGCTGGGTGGGCCTGGTGTCAGAAGTAAGTGCTTTGTAAGTATCAGTTTTCTGCAACTGCCCCTGGGACCCTGTCATTCCATATCTCTGCTCCTGTGGCCTCCAGAGATGTACGTGAAAGTTGTCTCCTTGTCCCTTACCCTTCTCTTCACAAGGAGGGGATGGAGGGGAGGGGAAGAGATATAACATGAAGCTAACCCGAGAGAGCGGTAAATACCAGTGATTGGTACTATGGCATCTTTCCCTTGTTTGGAAGAAGCCTTTGAAAGATGAAGCTTAGCATTAAATACAGGGCAACCTGAGTGAAGCACGGTGAAGCATTCCAGCTTCCTTTGCCTTGCAGAACAGTCCATCATCAGCGAGTATGAGAAGAGCTTGCAGTTTGATGAAAAGTGTCTCAGCATCATTCTGGCTGAGTGGGAGGCAAACCCCCTCATCTGTCCCGTGTGTACAAAGTAAGAGTTTATAAAACCTTTTCAGCATTACTGGTTCCCATCCCCCACTCCAAGGTGAGTGGAATTTCCCCCAAAATTTGTTGCCTGAAAAGGTTTGGAGATCCAGGTCTGGTGGCCATGATGCTCTGGGATCCTAATTCTGCTTCTAGGTACAACCTGAGAATCACAAGCAGTGTGGTTGTGTGTCAGTGCGGCCTGACCATCCCATCTCAGGTGAGTGTTCCACACACAGATTTCGTGCCACCTCTTCCTACATATATCTACTTTCTTGAAGAACCTCCAGTGGAGGACTGGAGCTGATTGTACATTTCTCTTCCCAATTTCATGTTCAGTGATGTCACATTGGTAGCTTCAAATCAACCATGGTGAGAATATATACAGCATGAACACTGGTAAACACTTTAAAACAGGGCTTTTATGTCCCTGGAGGCCCACACTGCTTAACATCTTTATAGAGATCCCAGTTTAGAATTGGAAATGCCTGTATCTGATCTTCCATTATAATTTTCCATATATGAAGACAAACTTAATTCAGAATTTAAGCTTTAGTAATCTTAAAATACAGGAACCCTTTTGTCTGAGATGATGGGGACTGCAAGTTTGCCAGTTAACTGAGTAATTAGTTAAAATGGTAAATTATAAAAATGACTCATAATTTTCAGACATACAGATTTATTTGCCTGTCTTTGGAGCTCTGTTGACTAGAGAGCTGAGTCATCTTTTTTACATAAACAAGCCCTGTAATACATAGTCTAGAGTTGCCAGTTTTTCTTCTATAAAGTGGATCTAGAAGCTGAGTGTGCAACTTTAGGATTTTTTTCCTCATCTTTTACCTAATTTAAAAGCTTTTTTTTTTAAATTTTAATTTTTACCTTTTTGCGACAGGGTCTTGCTCTGTCACCCAGGCTGGAGTGCAGTGGCACAATCATAGCTCACTGCAGCCTTGAATGCCTAGGCTCAAGCAATCCTTCTGCCTCAGCCTCCTGTCCCTAGCTGGGACAGCAGGCACACACCACCACACCTGGCTAAATTTTTTTCCTATATTTTATAGATGGGGTCTCACTGTGTTGCCCAGTCTTAAACTCCTGGCCTCAAGGGTTTCTCCCACCTTGACCTCCCAAAGTGCTAGGTTTACAGGCGTGAGCCACTGAGCCCATCCTGCTCTTTTTTTATTTTTTTTAAAGAAACTTATCTTTTTGAGTGTTTCCTAAACTTTTAAGCTTATTATAAAAACAAAACTTTATTTTCATCCCCCTATGTCATTGGTTTACATATCATATAATTAAATCACTGAGTTCAGTTAGCACAGACAGATGTGGGAGCAAACACTGCTGATTCTTAGTAAAAATACACTCAGCTGGTGGGGGCAGGAGTAGAGGGAGGCTAGAAAATAACTCACTATCTTTTTTAATGTTCTTCATGCCATGAGTGGTAGTCAGTGTGTTTTATGGCAGGAGCGGAGAGCACTGGTAATCTGGAGAAGGGGTTAAATGGAGATTGGTTAAGAGATCTTAATACAGTCAGGGACCCAAGAGGTTCTTGAAAACTCCAAGGAATCAAGCCATCGCAGCAAGCCCGAGTATAGTGGTTGGCAGGAGGACTCAGGATTTTCAAGCTATTATCAAGTTGCTAAGATTAGGTTGATCATTTATATTTTTTAGTGTCCGGAGTTGACAGAGCAGAAGCTTCGTGCCTATTTAGAGGCAAGTATAAATGAGCACAGTGCACATTGTTCCCACACACCTCAATTTTCAGTCACTGAAGGAATAGAAGAAAAGTCCAATCTTCTTATGAGCTGTCTGGTAAGCCTCTCATGGGACCCAGTCCGTGGTAAGTGGGGGTCGAGGGTTGGTTTTATTCCCACCTTGGTAGAAATAATGGCTTAGAAACAGCTGGTGGGGGCAGGAGCAGAGGGAGGCTAGAAAATATTTATCTTCTTTAATATTATTCGTGCCACGAGTGGCAGTGTTTTATGGCAGGAGTGGAGAACATTGGTAATCTGGAGAAGGGGTTAAATGGAGATTGGTTAAGAGATCTTCTTATGAGCTGTTTAATGGCCTTTATTCTCTCAGGAATTTACTTGCATAGAAAAGTGAGGGTCACAGGTCACTTTAATGAAAAGGCCAATCATCCCCTGAAAGGGGACGAGAAGAGGCAGCATAGGATCGCGGCAGGAGCATTGGTCTGGGAGTTAGGAAGCCTGGCTGCACTGTCTGCTCATTAGGTCAGCTGGTCGTTTCATAACTGTCACACCCAGACAGGCCTTCCTGGCACCACTTTTGCAGAAGGAAGCAGGACAGGAAGCACAGCAGGGCAGCATCAGGCTTGTCCCTCAGCAAGGAGTCTTCATAGAAGTCCAAGGGTTAGTCTCTAGCCTGAGTACCTGATGCCATGTCACCTCTAATACTGTTGCAGTTACCTGTTCATATGTCTTTGTCCTTGAGGCCAAGGACTGTATCTTTTGCTCTCAGTGCTTGGCACATAAGTAGGTGCTTAATATGCTTATGCAGATGAGTTAAGGTAGGAGGAGAGTTGCAGAGGCCCAAGTCAGGTGGCTTTGGCTTCTGCCTTCTTAGTAAAGTGAACAAGTGAGTCTTCCACAGATTGTTAAGGGTAGCAGAGCTGGAGTGTGGAGGTCCTTGAGTGTCAAAGTTTCAGACCAAGTGCTGGAGGGGATGGCAAGGGCAATTAAAAGCATTGCCTAACTGCTGAGTGGACAGCTGCAGCTCAGCAGGTATTTGTCAGGGACCCCAGTCATCCACTCAGCTGACCATTGGTGCCCTGGAGCTCAGAGCAGCAGTGATGCCAAGTTGTTGGTGAGGTTTGAAAGGCGGGTGCTGCGCAGCAGTCCTAGGGAGAGCGTGACTGACAATGCTGGCTCTGGAGTGGGCAGGGAGACTATTGTTGGGAAAGGGGGTGTCCCAGCAAAGATGGGCAACAGGTGAGGGAAAGACAAAATTATGCTCAGCAGGCTCCCGGAGTTCAACATTTTGAAAGGTAGACATTTGGAATGCTCTAGAGTTTCCAGTTTGCCTCGAGACCTTCAGTTTTCACTTAAGGAGGGGGGAATGAAGGACCCCTGGGTTAAGATCCAGTGAGGTCAGGCTGTAGGCTAATTCCGCGTACATGTTGTGGATGAGGTGGAAGATAGGTGTGGGTTACAGAAGATGGTATGTATTTCAAGGACTTGGAATATTTGAGATATGACGGTGGTTTGGTGGTTGTCATGGGGATGGAACACGCTAAACCACCTATTAGCAGGGTTATAGTGCCTTGCAGAGAAAGCCAAATGTATTACCAATGAAGTAGAAAGAGTCAAGGTTAAGGATAGACAAGATCCCTTAGCATGGAATTAGGAGCCAGTTTTATACTCACATGCTTAGTGACAATACAGGCCAAGGGAAGATGTGGTATAATCAGCGGGCCTCCAAGTTGTTTCTGCCTGTAGTGAGCATGCACGTGTCAATCTTGTGTTGAAGGAGTCTCACCTCCTTGCTGGGCTCAGAGCTCCAAGCTGTAAAGTTTGAATAATCTTTCAGGTCACAGGTTTCTTGAGGGTGAGGGTATTTGATTATTTCATCTCCAGGATTTGATCTTAGCTTGAAGACTCCATGGCTAATGGTTTCCAAGGCTGTTGTTTGAAGGCCACAGACAGCAAAGACCCAGCCAAGCCCAAGGCGGGGCGGGGGTTCATCAGTGGCCTCTTTGACAAACACCACTGGACTAATTCATAATTGTAACTGAACTCAGTCGGCATCTTCTAATTATTGATTACAACTTTTAACCAAATATTAAGATAATTTTCATGACTAGAATATAACTTAGGCTAATTTTTTTCTATTTAAATCCAGGCTTGTGATACTTGGGCTGTGATCCTCTAAACAACTCATTCACTTTGAGAAGGAGCCTTATATATACAAACTTTGTATTTGTAACTTTTTTGTATTAAAACTTTTCAAACATCTCTGCTCTTGGTGTTTTGTGATGCAGGTTGGAGGGGAAGAAATAGAAATGGAAAAGACAAACTACCTTGGAGGAGATAAACCAATTTTATTGTCCATCATTATGTTATACAAAAATCTAGATTTGTACAGAAAAAAAGCAAATGAATACTAAATGAGAATGCAAAAGAAATAATTTAAATTTGCTATTTTTTCCATGATAGTAGGATGATAACCATTTCAAAGCACGTGCCTGGCTTCAGAGCAGGATTTGTTCACCAGCCAAGGCCTGCCATAAAAGAAAGGCTTTCAGTGTCCCTGTATGCTCTACTGGCTCTTGACAAAACTCTTGAGATCTTCAAGAAAAGTAATGTACTCCTGGTGTTCCAGGGCTGTGCTGAGCTCCACCAGCTCATCCGCAAAAGTGTTGTCCACCCCTCGGTCCGCAAGGAAATCCATTAGGTGGTCATACAAGGCCTATGAAGAACAATGTTTTTTAGTTAAAGAAAAAAAGGACCATCTGTAATGCATATGAATTAAAATACTTCTTTCTCTCCTTGAACTAGGTAGGACCCTCCCACGCAAAGCCCAAGAGCATCCCCCTCTTATCAAGTACTCACCCAGTCTAGGGAATCTGTGTTGAGTGTGTAATTAGTGTCCTTCCATTCAGAATCACCAGTGGACTGAAAGCTAACTTCCCTGATAGAGAAAATGTCACTCTCAGCCTCTTCTTCTTGTCCAACCTAAAAGGAAATGTATTTGGGGAAACTGAAGGGTTTTTCAGGACAAGCCAGACTCAAGCAAAGAAAATGACTTTACAGCTTGAAACTCACCAGATTTTACTCTTATTCCCTCATCTCCCACCTCTCTTCCCCTGGTCTAAGATACAAAGTCTTTTAAAGTGTCTGCTAAAAAGGACCAGGAAGGTCTCAGAAACTCGGTGTTCCCAAGGGGCTGGCAATTCCACCCTCCATACCTCATCCTCTGGATAGTGACAGTCCAGCACAAGGGCCTTCTTGCCATCGTTCTTTATAACTTCGACCACAAAATTAGGAGTTGATGTCAATTCAGGCTGAGGAAACAAAAAGTCAGTACATGCCATTGTTGGAAAGGGTTGGATGCCTGGACCAAAGGTCTCGGAGAGTTCAGAGTGTCTGATGGCCACTGCTATTAGGATATTATTTAGCCACTTTAATAGTCTTATGTTATAGCATTCCCAAATAAGCAGCTTAGAATCTTTAACACAGGATATCTCACTTCTGTTAGCACCCTACTTGGTTAAAGAACACACTGGGTTTAGAATGAAATGTGCATTCTGGCCCTAGCTATGTGCCAATTATTTGACATTTAGATCAGTCCCTTAAGCTTCTTGGGCCTATTTCTCCATCCATACACTGCAGAGTTTGCTTAAGTTTCCAAGATCTCTTTCCAGCTTGACTGGGGAGTCTTCCTTTACTACAACCATAATCAAAGGCTGGTACACTTGGCTAAGTGGCCGTCCTAATGGCTGAATAATGGCAGCAGCTCTTCCTTTGATGGTGAGCCCTGGGAGCAGACTGAATCTAATGTCAGGGAGATGCTAGTCAGGGTGACTGAGACAGAAGCACCCTGGAGGGCTGTGCTCTCCACACTAGGCCAAGAGGTAAGACTGTACTGATGCCTGCTTGGTCAGATCTAGGGAGCCTGTGGCTCTCATACTGGTTTTTGGGCACACCACTTCCCAACATGTTTGAAAACTGGGTCCCATCCAGGTCCAACCAAGAGGGCCAGAAACCTAAGGAAAGGATCTCCACCTGGCCAAGTGTTAAAATCTGTTGCCCCTGGCTTTCTTATCTTGGTTAAGTGGCTAGTGTTTGTTACCAGCTTGTGACATTTTAGGAACATTCCTCACATGGAAACGCACCAAATGATAATCTCCCATATCAAACATCTCCCCATTATGGGAGGGGTTGAGGCAGTTTCAGTTCCTTTCTGTTAAGAGAATACAGGTCAAACTATAAAGCCTGAGCCTGCAGATGACAACTTATTCAGTCCCTGGAAAAGAAAGGGGGCCACAGCCCCAGTGCTAGAGCTGGCCAGAAACTTATCGATTCTGTCACTCAAGTCCCACGGATGGGTGTCCTTTGCCTTTTCTCATCTAGCATTAGGGGGAATTTAAAGAGAAGAAGAAAGAAATGCTCCTTCTCTAAGCCCCTGGGGCAGCCTATCAGAACGGAGGTAAAAGCCAATGATAGTGTGAGGAGCTTACCTCCTGTTCCTCAACCTTCTGCCCTTGGGAGGACTCCTCCTCACCATCAAATGTTGGTGGGATGCTGTTGTTAATGTTGAAAGTGACAGTGATCCTAGAAAAGAAGAACACATAGACAAGGCACAGTTTTACCTGAGTAGATTAACAGATAAGCACGGAGACACGCAACAGGTAAGGTTTACTGAAATAATTCCTCTATCTTTGCAGAACTTAAAAAAGGCTGGGTGCCTATATCCAACCCTGAGACTGATTCAGCAGGTCCAGAGTGTGCCTACTAGGTGCCAGCTGCTGGAAGTCAAACCTACAGGCTCTAGTTTATCTCAGCCAGTCATGTGGAGGCTACTTCCATCAGGCCAGTGCCCCAGGGCTCACTGCCACGTGTCCACTGGTGGTCTCACAGCCACAGCGCCTGACACGGTCCACCCTGCTCTTTCTAGGGAACCTTGGTAAAAGCAAGCAGCTGAGAAGCTCGGGGGATGGAATAGAAGCCCCTTTAAGAGCTTTTCTCCTCCACAAAATCTGCCTCTGAAAGGAAGGGAAAAAGCAATAAGGGCTGCATCAGCTGAGGACCAAGAGCAGCCCTAGCCCTAGGAAGGGGAGGCCTCACAAAGAACAGCATGCTGCAGGACAGATGCATTCTTCAGAGTACTCGTGCGAAGTTTTATAATCACAAAGCACGCCAGAAACACCAACTAATGACAATTTGAAGGTGCAAGAATCCTCACCTGACACATCATGATCCTGAGTTTGAGTCAAAATTACTAGGACATGAGGTTTGGAACTAGAACTGCTGGGCCGCACAACTCCAGCAGGCACTATTCCATACAAGAGTAGGCTAATTGCTGCCCCCTGGAGTCGTGCTAACTGGCTGCCTTGCCATGGAGCAGCTTTCTCATAGGAACAACTGCAGTTTGACGTTCAGCCACAAAATTTGTTGAATTTGCAACAGTGCTGACCAAGCTGAGCTCTTCGACTCCTGGGCACAGAAATGCAGTGATGTTCAGAAGAACATTATTTATAATGACCCAAAACTGGTAATGAAAAACCTAGGAAAATGGTTTAGGTGAGGTTACAGAACACGTAATTGACCTATATATGGGAAAAGCACTATATACTGGGCAAAAAAGAATCAGAACCCTACTTCACACCATATATAAAAGTTAACTCAAAATGGATCATAGACTTAAACATGAGCTAAAACTATAAAACTCTTAGACGAAAACATAAGCATAAATCTTTACAACCTGGGGTTAAGCAGTGCTTTCTTAGATGTAACACTAAAAAGCAAAACTGACAAAAGGGAAAATAGGTAAACTTGACTTCCATCAAAATTAAAAACTTGTGTCAAACAATACAACCAAGAAGTGAAAAGAAAACCCATAGGATGGGTGAAAACACTCACAAATTCTGTATCTGATAAGGGAATTATATCTGGAAAATACAAATAACTCTAACAACAATAAAAAGACAAATAGCCCTATTTAAAAATGGGCAAAGAATTTGAACAGACATTTCTCCAAGGAAGAAATACAAATGGCCAATAAACACAAAAAGATGCTCAAGATCATTAGTCATCAAAGTAATTGATTCAAAACCACAATGAGATACCACTTCACATCCACTAAGATGGCCAAAATGATAAAGGTGAACAATAAGTGCTGACAAGCATGTGGAGAAATTGGAACCCTCACACACTGTGGTTGGAATTGTAAGATGGTGCAGCCACTTTGGAAAAATAGTCTGACAGTTTCTTCAAAAAGGTCAACACAGAGTTACTATGTGACCCAGCAATGCCACTCGCGGGTATATACTCAAGAGAAATAAAATATGTCAACAGAAAAACTTGTACACAAATGTTCACGGTATTATTCATATAGCTAAAAGGTGGTTAACAAGTCAAATGTCTATCAACCGATGGATAAAATGTGGTATGTCCATACAGTGGAATATTATTCAGCCATATAAAGAAACTAAGTACTGATACATGTTATTGTCAACATGGATGAATGCTGAAAACAATGCTAAGTTAAAGAAGGCAGACACAAAAGGCCACAAAATGTATGATTCCATTTATATGAAATGTCCAAAATAGGTGATGTACAGAGAAAGTAACTTAGTTGATTGTCAGGGGCTAGAGAGAGGGAGGAATAGTGACTGCTAATGGGTATTGTTCTGGGGTGATGACAATGTTCTAGAATTAGATAGTGATGACTGATTGTTGTATACTTCAACAAAAGGGTGAATTTTATGGTATATAAATTAAATCTCAATAAAGCTGTTATTAAAAAAACAAGATACAGAATTGCAAGCACATTGTTGAGGTCAACTATAAAAAAATTTCAAGAAAAATTGAAAGATTCTACATGTTTATCTGTGTAACAGGATTATGGATGACTGCATGATACAAATATAAACAACACTTAACAGTCAAGGAGGGAGGAGCTGAACTAAGTTAAAAACCCCTGCCTCTTTCTGATGGCAACCTTCACTACATTGTAACCCTATCCCGTTACATGGGAGTTACATTATTTTGTATTTTCAAGTACTGTAAAAATCAGGGGGCAGGAACAGGCCAGTTTTCTGTTTTTTCGGTTTTTTTTTTTTTGAGACAGTCTTCCTGTTGCCCAGCTGGAGGGCAGTGGCATCATCATAACTCACTGCAACCTCAAATTCCTGGGCTCCAGTGATCCTTCTGCCTCAGTCTCCTGAGTAGCTGGGACTACAGGTGCATGCCACCACACTCGGCTAATTTTTTTTCTTTCCTTCTTTTTTTTTTTAAAGTAGAGATAGGGTCTTGCCCTAGCCCAGGCTGGTCTCGATCTCCCAGCTCAAGCAATCATCCCACCTCAACCTCCCAGAATCCAGAGTGCCAGGATTACAGGGAGTGCTAAGATTGTAGGTGTGAGCCACTGTGCCTGGCCCCAGGCCAGTTCTATCAGGACTTTTTTATCAGGACTGTAAACCAGAGATCAAACTAATTCTGTCACTACTACAAGAACTTCTGAATCTGCATGCCTAAATTTTAGGCAGGGCATAGTTTCCTTCAACAGTAAAGATTTAATGAATCTCTACCTCTCAGCAGACTTCCAGCTACGTACTTTTGTGCTACTTTCTTACTGCCTCCTTAGTAACCAGCCCACAGCAAATCTGTGTTCAGTGAATGAACTATCAGGAGCTTATGAAGTTGTTCAAAATGAATCCTGTCTCTTGAAAACCATCTCTCACACCAAAGTATCCGCCTCTGGGGATGACCCAGGACAGGTCCTGTAGAGTCATAGATTTGGTCCCCTGGAGGCCGCAGTCCCCAGACCAGTACTTACTTTTCCCCAGCAACTTTCCGCACTAATTTAGCTTCTGTCCCATTCACTTCCAGCTCCCAACCTCCAGACATCTTGGGGAGGGTCTTATGCTTCTGAATTTTCTTTTCCTCCTTAATTTCATCACTCAGAAATTCAACAAAAGCTTTGTCCCCTAGAAAGAAAATCCAGATGATACCCAAAAAGAAAAGCCAATTAGTTTAGCATGAATCAATCATCCAGGTTACTGCAGCCAGAAATCTGGATTTGGACAGTTTCTCATCTCTCAGCTATTATGGTTACCCTGAGATCTTAACCCAATTCACACCTTTAAGCCTGTTTCTTCAGTTGCAAAAATACCATAATACTATTAGTGGGTAGCTGAACTTGATTCTGGCAAAGTGATTTCCAGTAATACACCCATTACCACCTTTCGCTATAAAGTAAAAGAATTCCAATTTCCGTCTTCCACTTACCAGCAGATATAACCATGCTACTTTCAACCACGACCTTGGGCCTTCCTAAAGCTTCATTTTCAAGAAAGTAAGAATAAAGGTGCCCTCCAGTATTCAGTCTTATCATCGCCCCCAAATATTTGGTGGGTGGGAGAGGAAGGGAAACGTGATCACACGTGAGTTTTACCCGCTGGCTGCCAAATGTGACGGGCCTCGGGGATCGGTTCCGGGCGATCCACTCCTGGCAGTCTACGCTTTGTCTCTCCAGACGCCCTCCCAACCCCTGCCACAACGCCCCGATCCGCGTGCGCGAACCTCACCTTCGGTGTGCAGCGCGCCGCAGCCGCAGCCGCAGGCGCAGGGCCCGGGAGGCTGCAGGAGGCCGGGCCGCCGCACCGACCCCGCGCGCACGCTGAGCAATCCGAAGGGCCGGGCGCACGGCCGGGGCGCCAGCTGCAGTAGCTGCCGGAGCGGGGCGGCGGGCGCGGCGGCGCGAAGGCCGGCGACGGCGGGGCCCAGGGCACGGGGCACACAGCGGAGCAGAGGAAGCATCGCGCAGGCGGCGGAGTACACGTGCGTGTGCGAATGTCGAGCCGAGCCCAGGAGCCCCGTGACCTAGCGCGCCGCCGGAAGCCCCGCCCTCGCCGGAAGCGCCGCCCATGCCGGCGCTGTAAGACTGAAAGCCCGTGTGCGAGATCGCGCCCTCTGCCGGGGACCTCCGGTGCAGCCCCGGGGAGGCCTGGAGTCCGCTTTGTCTGGCTGAGTTCGCCTGAGTCTGGTCTCTGAGGCTTTCTGTTTAATTCTCTCCAGTGGCTGCTTATACTCTCTCAATTTCCTCCTCCTGTTCTCAAAGGACGCTAGACTTTCTGACTACGCAGACTGCACTCCCAACTCCCACCAGGCCCGACTCCAAGGTCACTTCCCGTAGGAGGCCTTCCTGGAACCCCCTCTCTTCCACCAGATAGCTCATGCTTGTGCACACCCAGCCCCTATGCTTCACTCTCTTTCTGCAGGAACCTCCTGGCACTGCCGGTTTACCAGGCAGCACCCTCTCACTCCTGCTAGGCTGTGAGATCCTGAAGGCCGGATCCATGACTAATTTCTGTCACCTTCCCACTCCGCACCCTCCAACCTTGCATCCAAGTTCTGAATGGAACATCATTTTTCTGGGGACAAGAAGCCATGACTAAAACATCAGATGAAGGTTAAAAACGAGCGATCCTACCGTTCTAGGATACACAGTAAATATAAGGTGCCAAGAAGGTATGTCTTACCAAATTAGTGACAATGACAAGACTAATGCTTAATATTTTCCAAGCAGTTTTCTGTGAAGGGAAAATAGACCCAAGAAACAAGCCACACACATCATGTGCAAGATTTGTTTTTAATGGATTTGATAGTCAAGTGCAAATTTGAGCATTATATACAAAAACTGATGTTTCCATAGTTATTTGTTTGAATAAGACCAGACTCAAAATACAACTTAAGCTTGAACCAACTGGATATTTTTTCTCCCTCTAGTTTTTTCTGCAAATTATAATATTCTGATCAAATACAATCCTCACAGGTGCGAGTGTTTCCTTATATGTTCAAGGAATGGCATCTTCGATGCATGGCCACAGTGCCAAGCAGTTTCTGGTAACTGGATTAGGCAGATTATATATCAAAGTACAATACACAATCAGTTTCCCCCATAGAGCAAAACTTGCCTCCATTCCGGTATCTCTTTACAACTGGCAGAGATGCAGCATTAAGGGTTTTTATCAAGGACCTGGTGTTTGCAGTCTCTCCCCTTGTAACGAAATGTGTGTTAATCTGGATGTTTCACACTCCATGATTACTAGAAGAAGACGAATACCTGAGACATGCAATCCACTTGGAGTGTGTCTATTTACATGAAGCTGCTCGTGGGAGCTGGTGATTTGTCCAGATATGGATTTCACAGGTTGGAAAAGAGGTGTCACACCATCAGAGATTCCACCAATTGAAAAAGTTGCTGAAGATTATATTGCAGTATCATCATGAAACATTTAACTTTCTTAAGAAAGTTTAAGTTTAAAGTGTACTATCCCCTGCAGCTCAATATAGACAACCATTTATTTCTTTGTAGTATTATGTAGAGGCAGAATGGGGTTTCCAATCTGATTTAATCCCTGAGCAGCTATGTTAAAAATTAACTTTTTATTTAAAAAGCCCAATAAAAAACTAAATACTGTATTAAAACTCTACCACAATGTTACACTGATAAACATATTTCTGTACAGAAACATTGAAGCTACTTAGAAGCTGTTTAAATCCTTTACCCCTTGGAAAAAAATACACATTTCTGGAAACTGTTCAGGTACCTAAGCTGGAGATAAATGACTCCAAGTTAAGTTTTACTTGACCCAGAGGACACCTCTAGCTAGAGAAATAATTTGCTGAGGAACATAATAAACTGTCCCAACCCTAATGTTTTACCAACATGATGCATGTTTTATTAAAAATACAATATTTTCTTTTACCAAGTCAGGCTAAATATCCTGGCCTCCTATTACACAAATGGGAAAAATACACTAAAAAAAAAAACTTTCTGGAAAACTTTTCAGAAAGTCATCAATGGTAAGAACGAGTTAATCTGTGGAAGAACGAAGTTTAAGAATGTAGTAAGATAAGGTATCTAGGATCTGTCAAATCTTATTTGTCCTAAATATAACCATTTCTAACATAAATAAATCACAAGTGCTCAGGTACCCGTAAACACTGGCAAAAAGCTTAAGTGCTCAGGACCCTGGCAATGTTGTAAATAAAGGCTGAGCCAGATTTGACATGCACAACTGTGGACAGATGAGACCTTGGAATGGGTCTTATCTAGCAGGCCAGTCTCTGAAAAATGGTCCCTGGATCTAGAATGAAGAGACTGTCCATGGTCTTTGAAGAGCCTCTTAGGCATTTTGGCCCCCTGCTAATAAACTGTTTGATTCATCCTGTAAGAAATGACAAAATACTGGACAGATGTGTTTGGAGCAATTAAGCACAATAAAATGGCTACATCTCGCCTTCTTCTAGGGCAAAACATTCTCTGGGGAAAGATTATTTGCTTTGGATAATTAAATAGTAAAGCAGAACTAATAGTGTCTTTTCCCTTCTCAAAATATCAGAATAGAAAGAGACTGTCGAGATCCTCTCATTCCCTCTGACAGATGTAGACAATGAGGGTTAGAGAGGTGCCTGGCAGTTAGGAAGCAGCAAAGCCAGAGTGTCCCCAAGTCCCTATGAAGAAGGAAAAAAGATCACAGAAAATCAGTGTGAGGCAAGAATATAAGACCAGACGTGGAGGCTGGAATGAACTGATGCTCTCTGGGTTCTCGCTGACCATGCACCTCTCCGCTCCCACCCCCAACAGCTCTGACCAGGGGCCCTGCCCAGAGAGAAACAGCTGAAATGGAGCACAGAGTCATTCCTCATGCTCACATGTTCACAGTTACTCAGGAAAATGAAAACTGGGTATGCAGCAGGACGTTGAAGAGTCAGTTTTCCATGTCTGCACTTGACATGATTCAGAAGGTACAAATCGACCTCTGCCCAGGAAACTTACGTGTCTCCTAAAAGCACTGACAGAGACGTGCACCACAAAAGCATGGAGGACCAAGTGACGCCTCCACTGGGCTCTGCTTGGATACAGACGGAGAGCAGTCCACCCCCTGAGACTTGAGGGTTCAGTAGGGATGGCCATCCCAGGAGGTAAGAAACAGCACCTCCCCCTCTGGAAACTTCTACAGAAGTCAATTGCTTGTGTTTTCCATTTTAAAGCTTCATACAGATAGACATTAAAATAGAACCAAGGACAACAAACATCCAAGTTCTGTAACCTCCTATGGCCCCTTCTACAAAATCCCCCTCAGTCACAAGAACTTGGTATTTTGTTGTACTTAATTGACATCACGTAGAAAGCAGTAAAATTAAGCATAATGGCTCACAGCTCACTGTCTGTCTTTCAGGTGTCAGGAATAGCTCTGGGTACTTTCTATTCATTTTCTCTACACTTCATGACCCCAATAAGTAAATATCATTATTATTATCCCCATTTGGCAGATGAGGAAACTGAGGCTCAGAAGTTAACCAAGCCACCCAAAGTCACCCAGCAAGAACCAAAAGCACAATTCTTAAGTTTTCGGGATATAAATTATATGTACACATCTACATGGTTCAGGCCTAAGAGTTTAAGCAAAGATGCTTTCAAGCTCCTGGAAGTCGGGCATATTTAGCTGCATTAAAACCTGCCGCTTCTCTAGGTGCCAACCTGGAAGTCTGCTATGAGGACAGCTGTGGTCCAAGCTCCCAGGCACCAGCAATCCTGGCAGCACCCTGGAAAAGCTCAGTTTCTGGCGGTTCTCAGCTTCCTCCTGAAATACTCGGGGGCGGCCTCATACAGCCACTCGGCATCCACAACGCAGAGGTCTCGCATGTAGCACTTGTTGGTATAAAGCAGCTCAGTGTACACGACGCAGGCTGGCTTGCAGTGGAAGAGGACAGAAGAGGGGTGGATGGCCACTGGCTGGTGGGTGTCCGTGGTGGCATAGGTACCGTCTGGCTGGAGCTCAGCAGTGCTCATGAAGAGGCTGTGAGCCAGACAGCGGCGGACGCTCTCCATGTCTCCTCGGGATGACAAGATTGGCATTGACATCTGTTTCAGGAGAAAGCAAGAAATGAAGAAGACTCTGAACATAACTACTGCTCAGCACTGCATGGCGTGTTGAAACTGGACCTAAAATGCCGCCTATGCTGCAAGCCTAACAAAGTGGATTTTGACATGCAGAGGTGGTTACCTCTGATGCCTTCAGGATCAGCAAGGTCAGGGAAAGAAGGCAGAGCTCAAGGAGGATGGACTGAAAACTGGGAAACCACTGCCTGTGAACAGAAGGACTGGGAAGGAGACATTCACATAAGCCATAGGCAGGTTGGGTGACCCATGCCCCTCCCCTAAACATCCATCAAGACGTCCCAGGAAGGAAAGGCCTTTCCCTGCTGTGCTGTGTCCTCATCTCCTCACTCCAAATCGTCTTACGCAATGCTGCCAAATTAATCTTCCTAAAGCACAACTCAAATCATTCTCATCTGCTTAAAAACCTTCAATGTCTCTTGCTCTGGGCAAAAAAGAATGCAAACGTCTTGTGGTGAAGCCGTGAATGAGCCACGCTGAGCCTGCCTTGCCTGCCTCCTCTCTCTCACCCATCTTCTTTAGACATTGCATCCATGTTGCTGCCTTCTCTCCCCCAGCCCCACTTCATGATTCCTATCTCTGTGCCTTCACATTTGCTGCTCCTAGTATAAATGCTGCCCCTCATCTTTGCAGGGGAAATGTCAGCTATCAGTCAATGTCCTTGCTCTTACCGCCCTTGCTGAGTGGGTCATGTAACCTTGTACCTCTGGCCATAGCCAAATAGACCATGGTGCACACTTGCTTGACCTAACTGGTCAGCTTCTCTCTTCTAGGCATTTAGGTCCGAAGTGGTAAATCCAGTCAATCTCTGTTAGGCTCTTGAGTGGAGAGGCCATGTCAAGGAGGTACAAGGTGAGAAGGGGGCAGAAGGCACACAGACAGCAGCCATAACAAGAGGACCAGCAGGTCCAGAGAAAGGAGCTGCCTTTTCCAGTTCCTTGTGGGGTGTGACTCTATTTCTTGCCCGTAGGTTCCAAGAGATACCTCTTTATCCTTTGAAAATTCTCCTTTTCCTTTATGATGGCTCAAGGGCTTTTGTTTTTAGCAATCAGCTGATTGCCTGATGAAGACACTTTTATCCCTTTATCTGTCAAGAGGCAGCTCAGTTGTCACCACCTCCAGGAAGCCCTGAGCCTAACTGGCGGTCTCTCCGTCCAGACTGCCAGCTGCACCACTCACTGGCTGTGTGATTTGGGGCAAATCGCTTAACCTGATTAGGCTTAGTTTCATCATTTGTGAAATGGGAATAACGACAGAATCCTTGTGGGTTGAAGTGAGGATTTTAAATAAAGTAATCACATGAAAAATATTTAGATATGATGTATATGTTGTTCTGCAACTTGCAACCAAGTAGTATACTTTGTGGTGGACACTTTGGCAATATCTATCAAAATCTAAATCCCCCATCTAGAAATTCACACTATGTGCACCAGAACACAGAGACACATGTAGGAAGATGGTCATTATAGCATAACGCAAACAACCACAATTAGAGGCATTGCTAAATAAATTATAGTGAATACTGTGAACTAAAAGAGAAAAATCTTAAGCTCCCCAGCTGACTGAATGGAGCCCCTCTTGGCCAAGGGGACCTAGAAATACCCTAAAGCTGAGTTGTTGGCCAAGAGAAGGGAGGTCAGACATGCCTCATCATGCCCCACTCCCTTCTTAGAGATATCCTTTGTAGCTCATTAACAGGCCTAAGGGTACACAAGACAAAACTTCAGCCATACCTGCAGATCCTCGATTTACTTAACAGACCACCTGAGTCTGGGTATATGCTGGGTGGCTAGTCTCTGATTAGCAGACTTCCTTATCTTAACTTAAAACATTCCAAGCTTCAGACAAAGCTTCATTTCTTTAACCAATTACAAATCAAAGATTCTTTAAACCCATCTATAACCTGTAAGTTCCGCCCAAACCCTTCTTTGAGATATCCCGTCTTTTCGAGCCAAACCAATATACACCTTCCATTGATTTATGACTTTACTTGTAATCCCTGTCTCCCTGAAATGCAGAAAACCAAACTATAACTCAACCACAGTGAGTCCACTTGCTCAAGGCTTCTTGGGCATGGCTCTGGGCCATGGTCCTCAAACTTGGCTCAGAGTAAACCTCTTTAAACTATTTTACAGAGTTTGGGTTATTTTCCACTGACAATACAATGAAATGCTATGAAGTCACTAAAAGGAATGAGATACACATACGCAGACACTGAAAGGCAGCTCAGACACAGTACATATTCCAGAAGTATACTACTTGGTTGCAAGTTGCAGAACATGTACATCGTATTTGTTATAAAAGAAAAATCTGATATACATATCCATATGTATGTGTGCGCATAGAGATATATGCACAAAAACATACATATACAGAAACAAATTCTAGAAGAATCTACCCCCAAACTGTTAGCAGTGATTATCTCTGGAGGGGTAGGATCATGGGAGACTTTTAAAATTTCTGCATTACAAATCACTATTTTCTGCATTGTATCAGTGTTTAACCATTATGGACTGCTTTTGTAATCTGAAAAAAATAAAGATAATCCCACTAAAAAAAAATCCTTAGAAAGAATTCCAGTAACACTAGAAAATGTTTATAAAGTTCATAAAACTGAATATAAATTACACATATAATGTAACTATATAAAAAATGTAATAAAAACAGACTATTAGGAAATAAACCAAAATGCTGAGATATGGAACTATAATTTTTACTTTCTTCCTTATTTGTGAAATTTTCTACAATGAGAATTCTTTTTATAATCACTAGCAATAACAGTTTAGTCCCCCAAAGAGCACCAGGAAGAGATAATACCTTTAAGCAGATGTCCCTCAGCTGTGCTCTGACTTCAGTTACTAGCATCATATTCTTGCTGTTGACAAAATTCTCTTTGCACCAATCCTGTATAGAAGAAAAAGAGATATTATAATTCTCTCATTTCTATAGAGGAAAAAAATATTAAAACATTTTTAGAACAGTTTGATTCAGAGGAAAAACTTCAGGCGCCAAAGACGAATGTAGGAAAATATCTTTATATCAAAAAGCATGAACTGTAAGGGAAAATATTAATAATTTAAACTAAAGTAAAACTAAAAATTTCCTTATGCTAAGTTACCATGACAAAAAATACAGATTGGGATACTTGCATCGCCATACCCAATAAAGAATCAGTACCTCCGGAATATTAAGAAAAAGTCCTACAAATCATTAAGACCAACAACCCAGTAGAAAAATGGACAAAGATACGAACAGACAACTCACAGAAGAGGAAATATAAATGCCCAATAAACTTATTAAGGAATCTTAATCTCTTAAGGAATCATGGCAATGTAGTTTAATATAACAGATATTATTTCGCATCCATCAACTTGGTAAAAATTAAAGTCACTTCAGCTAAGAGTTGCAGAGGATGGTGAAAATGGAGACTCATTACTATGGGGAGTATAGAGAGGTGTTGCCAACTTTGGGGAGCCTCTTGTCAGCCTCGTAAAGCTGAGAGAGTATCCCAAGCCCCAGCAGGTCTACTCTTAGGGATCGGCCTTAGAGAAACTCTGCCCCATGAGCACAAGGAGACCTGCGCAGGATGGTCCCTGCAGCGCGGGAAATAGAAACAAGCTGCAAAAGGACAGTGTAAGAAAATGTTTATATTTATCGTACACCATACTGATGGATATGAAGTATACTCTCACCCCTGGAGAGCACACCCCAACTTCAAGCCAGGGCTTACATACAGGAGGGAAGAATAAAGAGGAGAACAGGGCTTTTATTGTATCCACAGCATTCTAATTCTTTAAAAATAAACTGAAGCATAAATATAGCAAAAAGTTTACGACTATTAAAACTAAGTGGTGGCTTTTTTGTTTTAAGTGAAAGTGTGCACACTATGGCATGATTACTGAGTTTATTACTAGAGGAAAGAATATACTGCCATTTTCCATCTTGGTCCAAGGAACTGAAATACCGTAATAGCAAAGACTACTCTAAGAAAGTTAGGGATAGGTGGGGGGAAAAAAGTCTGAGGCTAAGAAATTGAGTCACCAAATTTTTAACTAACTTGCCCACATAAAGTACGAGTTAAACACAAGCAGAACGAAGGCCGGAATGACATTTCTTCCTTAGTAACCTCCCAGTGCTCAGACGTTTCCGAAATGACATCTTGCTTTCTTTTCAAGGCTCTTTGGGTGATTCAGCCGAAAAGGGAAGGAAGGTACACTTCAGACGCGTGCCCGAAAGCAGCAGCATCCTTTGAGAAAAGGAACAGGACAAGGCTCACCTTATTTCCACCTATGTTTTTGAAGGTTCGGTAGATATTGAGCAGGGTAATGTGGTCCCCCTCACTGGATATGAACTTCTTCCGGACCCCCTGCACTTCATCCCGCCGGGAAGGAGGGTTGTGGAGGACGCTGTCCACAGACAGCAGGGAGACAATGGTCAGGATCTCCTCTGTACAGTGGAATTTGGGGGACAGGAGGATGGTCTGCAAATCAGAATTAAAAATTGTGTAAACCCAGCTTTTTCCTAGCTCCTGAATCCAGTATTTCTGTATATTGCTTTTGGAGCTCCCCTTCTAAGGAGTTCAAGGGCAAGCGTTTCTAAAACCACGACTATGGACGTTAACGTTACTTTAGTTTTTTGCAAAACAGATGAATGCCTTCCCCACAGGATTCCAAATTCCTTGTGGCTTAAGATGTCTTTGAATCCCACACAGAACATAAATCGGGGTTATATACAAAGTAGGGACTGACAACTATTTAAGAGAAAAAGTGAGGTTAATCTAGAAGCACTGGGTGCAGGAGTCAACTTTGGGATGGCTAACCTGTAATGTACAGAAAGGGGACTGAGGAGAGGGTATCATTTACTTTGGCAAATTTGGGTTCTAAAGGAAATGCTGCCATCTTTCTTCCAATTGGAGTCAGGGTAAGCTGGTCATCCTTATGTTCAAGAGCACCTAACAGGTCCAGTTGGGCAATGGCCGCCTGAATGTGATCTAAAGAAACAGAGGAGCCAAAAATCCAAAACAAGGATGAAGTTGCAGCTAGTTCAGTACTTCCAGGAACTTTTGATAACTCTATATCAAACAACAGCAAAGACCACAACCACCACTGCCCCCTTGACACACTTGTCAAAGCTGTTAACAACATCACTGTCCTCACTCTGATTCCCTTTTAAAATGACCTATAATTTGGTAATATGTAAGTAAATTTTGAATACACATACCCTTTGACCCAGCAATGTTACACTTACAAATTTCACCCGCAGATACACTCATACATTGTACAGAGACCATATCTCCAGAAGCAAACACATAACAATGGAAATACCACTTGCCTCAGAGGCCACCTGGGAGGCTGGGGGACAAAGGGTGAGAAGGATGATATTTACTATTTACTCTTTTACACTTTCAAAATTTTGAACCATGTAAATGCATTACCTATTAAGGAATAAAAAAGAACTTCTAAGGATGTCGTAAATATGTACATACTAACAGGGAATGATCTGTATAATACAGTAAGTGAAAAAAGCAATGTGCTTTTCATTGCTTTTCTAAAGCAATGCTTATCAATAGAAGAATGGATAAATGCATTTTGGTTTATTCACAGAATGGAAGAGCATTTAGTGGTGAAAAAGCATCAACACAAATAAACCTTATAGGATATACTGAATGAAAACACAAGGTTACTGAAGAAAAACTACATAAACGTGCAAACTGAAACAACAGATTGTTTAGGGATATATACATATATAGGAAAACAATAAAGAAAAGTGAGGGAATTACACACAAAATGTGGGGGAGTGGTTACCCTAAGGGAGTGGGAAGGAGCTGAGGGTGGTCAGGGAGGGCTCTCAGAAGCTTGGATGGCACTGGTAATGGGTACGCAGGTGTTGATTTTATTACCCCTTATACCTAACATACGTTGTTACTTTGTTTGTAGGGATTTAGCACTGAAAAGAAAAAAATCAAACATAGAACAGTGTACAATCTGTGTTGTTGCTATTTGTGTTTTAAAACAGACTACATATACTCGCATATGCATACATTTTTCTAAAGAAGACTAGAACAATGGTCTCAGTAGCTGCCCTAGGGAAGGAAAACTATGAATCTGAGGATCAGGGTGGGACCCTTGTATACCCATCAAAAGTTTACTTCTTCTTTCTTCTTTTTTTTAATCAGTTCTATTTCTTCGCTTAGAGAAAAAAAAAAAAAGGAAAAAATGATGTATTGATGAGAGGCCAAGTGCCAAAGCTGCTATCGTTAAGAATCCCAATTATTGTTCTCTTCCTCCATAGACAGATTACTTTTTTTTTTTTTAAAAGAGAGAGGGTCTAGCTCCGTTGCCCAGGCTAGAGTGCAACGGCCTGATCATAGCTCACTGCAGCCTCAAACTCCTGGCCTCAAGTGATCCTCCCACCTCAGCCTCCCAAAGTGATGGGATTACAGGCACGCGCAACCTCACCCAGCAGGAGATTATTAATGAAGGGCAGGGACTGATCAAATTCCAGATAAAAGCAAAGAAATCTGATCTTTGCAGTCTTTGTGCCGATGAAGTACGATTTCATTAGGTTTCTGTAGCATCCCACGGAGCCCCCGTATGACCTTCACTGGTTCCAGAGGTCAAGGACCCTGATTGTGGTTCCCTCCATGATGACACTGACAGCACAGATTCCATCATTTCATACCCAGGCGCGGTGGCACGCACTGATCACTGCACCTGTGAATAGCCACTTCACTCCAGCCTGGGCAACATTTCGAGACCCCGACTCTAAACAAACCCTGTCTCTAAGCAAACAAACAAATCTATCATTTCATAATTTTGAGATGCTTCTCTGACAGCAAATACTGTTATCCACAAAATTAAGTAAATAAAAGGAGATGACCAAAATACATTTTTTCTTCCAAATATTTAATTTTTTGGAAGAGTCCATTTGTTGTTTATCTACTTGTCTACCTTCCACTACACTGAGGACTCTACTTACCTGGAGACGGTTTGGACATAAAGTCAAAGGTGAGCACGTTTGAGACTTTCATCGCTAGGAGCTGAAGCATCACACTGGCCAGGTTACACCTGGGAAGAGCGAGAGACCAGGGTTGTTCATCATGCCCGTGCCAGTGAGTCAGAACCTCTCACCGAGGAGTGTGAGTGAACACTGCAGCTCTGGGCAAGCACGAGCAAACAGGAAAGAGACATGGGGACAAATGGCAGGAGTGCAGGAGCCTACCTCTGGATCTCTGGCACGGTCATCTTCTCAAACTTCTCAAACTCCTCCTCAGTGTACAGCCGGTAACAGATGCCACTGTCCTCTCTGCCAGCCCTCCCCGTGCGCTGCCAGGCCTGGGTCTTTGACACCCGCTGCACTGCTAACACCTCAAGACCACTGTCTGGAGGGAGAATGGGCCCCATCAGTGCTTTGCTCGTCACATAAAACAACTGTTTCTACAATGTTGAGAAAAAGGAGCATTCCTCAGAACACCAGTGATTCTTTCTGCAATATAGGGGTCCAGAAAAACTCAAGGCTAAATTAGAAAGCACAAAACCAGGCTGCTCTGCAGTGGTTTAGCCCCACAGTGAAACAAGGCTGTGCGATGAGCCCTGTATGAAATCTGTTAGGAAAACATCAAAAAAATCTCATGCACGTAGCAAGGAGTCAGGAGAGTAGTGTCAGAAGTTTTGTCTTAGATCACAGGATGGCCAACAAGCCCAGTCTGCCTGGAACTGAGGCTTGCCCAGGATGCAGGACTTTTGGTGCTAAAATTGGAACAGCTTCCAGCAAACTAGCATGGTTGGTCATATCATGCTATCCATCAATGAATCAGAAATTAAATGCCTCAAGTCATTTGTGTGCTTTATCCTCCCTTCTAGTTCTATTATCAAACAGAGATAATGTGACGTTTGTTTCCTAGGAGTAAATGACATTCATTTGCTTGACAGAAGTGTATTCTGTGCTAGGCACTGGAGACCCAAGCTCTTTCACCTACATCATCTCTAGGAGATACACTTACGGAAGTCGGCACCCTCAAATATTTCCTACAGCATTTCAATTACTTGTTTGGGAGCAATAATTTCAGCTGCCTCAAATCCTCTGTGGAATACAGCAAGGTATAAAACACACATGGGTGAAAATGACTTCAAGCCAGCTTCCCACTGTACCTTCCCAGGAGATAGCTCATGTTTCATCACCATCCCTCACCCCATCCCAGGGGATCTGTTTCCTTCCTGGAAAACCTGGGCACTCAAACCAGCCACACTTAAATATAATTTCTGATGAGAGCCTTTCATTGGACTAGGCTGTCCCTGGCCTTAGTAGAGCCGTCAGTCTTGTGCAACTTCTGATGAGGTTCCAGATCTCTGCCCAGGTCCCTGACCCTCTGTTCCCAAGTTTGCTAAACCTGGGCTCTTCTTTCCTTGACTTCTTGTCTCACCTGTCTGCCTCAGGTCTCCTTTCTGGACTTGACTTGTGGATTGTCTCACCCACGGTGCCTGCCACCCAAAACTCACTTAGTCACAAACATGAAATGCTCACTTGGTGGAAAACTGTGGGACTACTGTCAATGGTTGCTCACTATACACAGGAGAGACATTCATGAGCTACAAATTCTCACCAGGGTTATACTTCTTTGCTTTAACCATGCCAGTGTCAACTACATATTTTATTCCTGTAATGGTTATGGAGGTTTCAGCGATGTTGGTTGAAATGATCACTTTGCGATAGCCCTAAAAGGAGGAAGAAAACCAGAAAGCTATATGACACACGTATGACTCAGAAGTGTTAAAACATATTCTCACCATTAATTTCCACAATTCACTCATGACCAAGATGACTTTATTATTAATGGGAGTCATTAATATTAATGGTAGGTCACTAAACTGGGCAGGGGTAGAGGGGAAGCTGCAGTCCTAAAGGTTAATTTCAGGTGATGAGATACAGTGGAACAAACACAAGATTCAGAAGCAAGTAGATGTGGGTTGGAAACCTGGCCCTGCCGGTCACTTCACTGTGTGCCCCTTAAGCAATTGTTACTTCCCCTCTTGGGGCCTCAGTATCCCCATGGGGTGATAACCCACCTTGCTGGTTCCCGTGAGGATGAGAGACAGTGTGTGTAAGTGTAAGCCAGCGCCTGGCAGCAGAGGCCCACAATAAATGGCACTGTGGACAAACGCGGTGTATGTTGGCCCTTAGATGAGGCGCTTATTTTACCTTTCAGCTTTTGTCTTTGCACTCTCCCTCATCTGGCAACTCGGCAACTGTTTCTCTGGGGGATTTTTTTTTCTTTTTTTAAGAGATAGGGCTTCACTCTGTCACCCAGGCTGGAGTGCAGTAGCACGATCATAGCTCACTGTATCCTTGAACTCCTGGGCTCCTGCCTCAACTTCTCAAATAGCTGGGCTATTCGAGACTAGCTTGAATACAGGTCCGCACCACCACATCTTGCTAATTTTTTAATTTTTTTCTTGTAGAAACAATGTTTCAATATGTCACCCAGGCTGGTCTCCAAATCCTGGCCTCAAGCAATCTTCCTGCCTCAGCCTCCCAAGTTACTGGGATTACAGGTGTGAACCAGTGAGCCCAGCTGTTTCTCTGGTTCTATCACAGGAGAGCTGGATCTGTAGCTGTGCATTATATTCCTGCACCTTCTCGACTAGTTGATCCGGTACCTGAGCATCCCATCCATACACCTTATCTGGAGCCTGGTGACAAGCACAGAGGCCCCAATGGTGGATCCTTCTGAGTGCCCAAGGACAGGGCTGGATAGACGAGATGGTGCACTCACCTGTGGGGCCCCTTGGAAGACACGGAGCTGCTGTGCATAGGGCAGGGAGGCGTACAAAGGAAGGACCACCATTGAGGGGCAGCCGTCTGGAAGGTGCTTTGCAATGTCTCGGCAGGTCTTGCTCATTGCTTCAATCTCCTCCTGACCCGTGAGGAACACCAGGATGTCCTGAGAAGGAGGGGCTTCCTGTAAAAAAGGTGGCGTGGGATTACCAGGCATTGGTAGAAGTGCAGGATGCACAGAAAAATACAATGGCCACTGATAATGTTTCCTAGAGTTATTTTTCTTAACTGTGGAGATGTAAATGAGTCTAAATTCTAATGTCTCCCTGGGAGAAAACCCTTACCAGCAATGCATGAAACTAACATATGTGAGTTAGCCAGCTAGGCTTAAAAACCAATTAAGGAAATTCTGAAAGAAATCATTAGATTGCTTTTGTAGTAAGAACAATACCATGAAAAGCACAATCATGCAGGCAAATAAAATCTGCAAGAAGCTTCCTTCCTTTCACAAGCATCTTGAAAGATAAAGCTGACAAAACAGAAGACAACTTGTGGAAATCAAGTAGTCACGCTGGAAAAGGGGCCTTTATTTAATGATGCCATCAAAAGCACTTTCAGACACCCAAAAAAGTACATTAAACTTTGACAACTGCTTGAGACACTGAGGTTAACAGGGTTCTTCATCTTCAAAGGGAATAACATCCAAGTATTGAAGACATACCCATTTATCTAATTTTTCTTTGATATTTGTATAGATATATTAATTTGCTTGATATAAAGTACTTGATGGCAAAATAATTTTTTAAAAGGTTTAATAATAATTATATGTGTGTATTTATGCATATATGTAAAAATATATTTATATGTGGGTTTTTTTTTTTAAGCCCAGTACTAACAGGTCAAATGTTCAGAGGTATATACAGACAGGACAAAATCTAAAAGTTAAAACTTCATCAGTGGGAGAATTCATTAAAGCTACCATGTAACCTGAATGCACCAGCAGCCATCATTTATGAAAAATTCTCATCTCAAGTTTGGTTTATGCAGTTAAACAAGGTAGACTGACCTTTTATTCTTCTCCAAATACTATCAAAATGACAGTAAAGCTCATTGTCTCAGAAAGACAAAGATAATGGGAGATAAGAGGGCTCAACTCATTTTTAAAAGATGGGCTGAATGACTTGGCTGGGCAGAAGCTATAAACGTGGTGCCTGCTAAGGGGAATAGTGACAGGAGATGAGCCAATTTCCCTGGAGAGGCAAGAAAACTTGGAACTTTGGGGAGCAAGGCAGAAGTGGGTTTTGGGAGAGTGAAAACCCAGGGATTGGCTCAAAGTCTGAGTACAGTGTGGTTAAACCTCCAGGTTCCCTCCTTTACGCAGTGCAGCCAGGAGGCTGGGAAGTCATGGGGTGCAATAATGGGCTTCACCACAGGAAAATGGCAAAGGGAAGGGTCAATATGACAGCTACAGCAGAGGCCTAGAAGAGCCACTGTTCCAATTGGAACAGCAGCATAACAGACTCTGGGAAAAGACGGACTGTGTTTGAACACAGAACAAATATTCATTGGTATATGACAGATGTTGGAACATTTGAAGAGAAATTAGCCATAGCTATGTAGGAAACTTACACAACTCTGTTGTCCAAGAGACAAGGTACAGGGATGGTATGCTACTATTAATAGCAATGTATGATCATAATATTGTTAATACTGATACTGGATTTTAAAAACATTGTGTTGTGCAAGCTGTAGTCCCAGCTGTTTAGGAAGCTGAGATAGGTGGATGGCTTGAGCCCAGAAGTTCAAGACCAGCCTGGGCAAAATAGTGAAACCCCCATCTCAAAACAAACAAACAAAAAATATTGTGATAGAACTATGTCAAGAGGATGGAGGAAAGAGGGAGTAGGAAGGGGCATTTCTAAATCTTTATCACGCATACTCAGTGATATAGTTTGTTAGAAAACAAAAGAAATGAAGATAGCAAAACATGAAACCACAGAGATCCTCATCACCATGGCAAGAAATTAGCACATAATACCTGATATTGGTAACTTAAGAAATAGCAGTAAAGGAAGGTATTTTAGAAATATAAAAGTAATATCTAGAGGAAATAGCTAGGATTGAAAATGGGTACCCTAAAGATCAGGAATCTGGGTTAGGAAGTGAAAGCAACTGCTATTCTTTTATTACAAGCCTTGTAATAATAAATACTTGACTTTTTAAAACTTTAAACTCCACACGCATCACTTAGTTTGAGATAAAAACAGCCAGACATGGTGGCTCACTCCTATAATCCTAGCACTTTGGGAGGACAAGGCAGGAGGATCTGTTTAAAGGGCAGGAGTTTGAGACCAGCCTGGGCAATATAGCAAGACCCTATCTCTACAAAAAATTTTAAAAAATGTTATTAAATTTACTTCAAAAAGTTTGTCTCTAGAGTTTCTCAGAAAGTTAACTGGAAGGTAAAAACAGCAATTTTATACAAATTAAACAGAAATGAAGTGATTCAGTCACTCAAATTTTTAAAGTAAATATCTAATAAAATGAGAAGTGATTTTGAAATATTTCCTGATATGGTTTAGAAAAAAGAAAAACCTCTAAGTTGCAACCCATTAACGGGTCAATATCAACTTTTTTTTTTTTCAATGAGATAGAAAATATCAGAGTACATCACATGTAGTAAAAAGAGGTAGTGTTTCATAGACTTATTTCAGTTAAATATGTTATGTAGTGGGTTGCAACATAAAACATGCTTCTTTCTGGGGATTATGATTAAAAAAAAACAGTTGGTAAGCCATTGCTCTAACATGTGGAAGTTTCCTGGCTCAGCAGAGGACAGATGCTGGTCAGAGCCGAATTGTTTTTCTTTTCAGAGAAAATAAGAGATACCATAAATAAAGGATAAAAACTGGACATGACAAATGAACTCCTTATCCATCTCGCTGACACATCTCACAAAGCTGTTTTACTCAGTAGCTTTTCTTTTCAAGGCTGAATGCTCTTGCTACCAATTGCAAAGTAAAACAGAGCTTTTTGGGAATTTGCACCCCCCTCCCTACCTGGTGGATCTGGAAGACTGAGACAAGTGCTGCGTGCAGGTAATCATGCTGAGGCTGTTTGGTGTAAAAAACCTGGATTGGATGTTGCCGTCCCTCCAGGTAGAGGACAGGGGCGCCATTGAAATACTGAGAGAACAGGTCCACATCCATCGTAGCTGACATCACAATCACCTACGAAAGACAACAAAGAGGAGGACGGGAAACAAATATTGGGACGGCCTTTCTGTGTCCCTCCCAAGCCTGAAAAGCCGATGATTGAGGCCCGTGCCACCCCTGTCATGGTTAACTTTCTTCCTCAGTTCTGAAGCAGAAAGGAGGAAGCAACACAGGCCTGTTTCCTTAAATATGCTGTACATACTTTGAGGGGCAGTTTCCCCGTTTCCTTTCGCTTCTTCTGTGCAGCTTTCACCACTCCAAAGAGCACGTCTGTGTGGATAGTCCGTTCGTGAGCTTCATCCAAAATCACACAGCTGTACTTCCGAAGCAGGGAGTCTGAAATTGCTTCACGCAGAAGCATGCCATCTGTTAGAAACTTGATCCTGGTGTCTTCTGAGGTGACATCATCAAAGCGCACTGTATAGCCAACCTATGGGAAGAAATGACTTATTCATTCATAAAACACTTGCTGAGCACCCACCGTGTCCAGCACTGGACTAGGCACTTGTGCTGTCACAGTGAATATGACCAACACCAACCCTGCCCTATTCCCTCAGGGAGCATGCATCTAGCTGGGGAGACAGACAATGCATACATTCTTTTAATTGCAATTATGATAAGTATTAGAAAGAACTTAAAATTAACCTCCTATCTCAAGCTATTTAATAATTTCATGGGAAACTATGGATAGCTATGAAAAGATGCTCAAGATGTTTTTGAGTGAAGTGAGCACATACACACACACACATACACAAACACAAGTAAATCTATAATAGGCAGTTTTGATACTCAATATTAATGATACACACTAGAAAAATGCTTGCAATTTTTCCAGAAAGATATATAGATAAGAGATTTAACAGAGGTTACCGAAGCCTTAAAGATGCTCAAGGAAAACAACTAATTTATCCAACTTGAAAACAGATTTTAAAAGCAAGGCACATGGGCCTGATAGCCTGTTGGAGCCTCTGATCTCTCAGGGACTGTAAAGAACTCTGAGGTAGGCCTAAATAACTCAAGAATAGTTAAGAAAGCTACTCACTATGGGAAAAAAAGTCTTATTTAGAAAAATGAAAGGCAGGGGGCACAGTGGGAGAACCGCGTAGTCAAGAAGTACTGAAAATAAAGAAGGAAATCAGGTACCAGCTTCCCAAGTTCAGTTCTCTTCTCATCTGAGACTCTAGTAGCAAGAGAGATGGCAGCCACCCGACGAGGCTGGGTCACAGCAATGACACCCTGGCGGCTGATCCCCCCTTCATACAGGTACTGAGGGATCTGAGTTGTCTTCCCTGAGCCAGTTTCCCCTAGGAAAGAAAACACAGTCTCATTGAAATGCAAAGTGACATAGATTTCGCCAAACATCTCAAAGTCAGAAGAAAAAGATAAAAGAAAATACTCTTGAGTTGGTAAGGCCTCAAGAGAATGGGCACTCCTGCTGGTGGAGTGTTAAGGGGTATTGTTTCTTGGGAGGCCAAACTGTATTTTAATAATCTTTAAAATGTTTATATCCTTTGACCCACAATTCTACTTGCAGAAACCGATTCTAAAGAAATAATTAAAGATGTATGTAAAGATATGGCTTCAAACATGTTTTATTCAACTTTGCCCATGACAGGAAAAAACTGGAAACAATATAAATGTTCAATGGGTATCTTGTGCAGTTAAAACATTAAATAGGCTGGGTGCAGTGGCTCACACGTGTAATCCTAGCACTCTGGGAGGCCGAGGCAAAAGGATCATTTGAGGCCAGGAGTTTGAGACCAGCCTAAGCAAGATTCCCATCTCTACAAAAAATAGAAAAACTAGCCAGGTGTGGTGATACACGCCTGTTGTTCCAGCTACTTGGGAGGCTGAGGCAGGAGTATTGCTTGAGCCCAGGAGTTGGAGGTTGCAGTGAGCTGTGATGACGCCACTGTATTCTAGCCGGGGTAATAGAGCAAGACTCTGTCTCCCCGCCTCAAAAAAAAAAAAAAAATTACATAAAATAAGACTGTTATATACATTTGTATGTATTGACATGAAGAGACATCCACTCATGCACTGCAGCCTTCACAAACTCTTCGCCATTCCGCAGCCTGCTGCTTTTTTCCAAATCCTCCACCTTTGCCCACACTATTATGAATACCTGTCCTCACACTGACTGCCTGGCAAACTACAGGATGAGTCAGGCCTCAAACTCGCTCCCCGGGGGCTGCTCGGGTGGCCCTCCCCTGGGCTCCTTGGTTCCTTGTTCATCTCTCTTCTAGCACTGACCACCCTACATTGTACAGAAGTGTTTAAATGTGTCTGTCCTCCTCCAATACCTGAAGCTCCTGGAGGGCACAGAGGGTCTGAATGTCTCTTAAGTAACCGGTAAATGTTATTTCCTACCCGATGTGTGTTCCTTTAACAACGCCTAATTAGAACAAAAAAAACTCAGCAAAGCTGTACATCCTTCTCCCTTGCTACCACCACACTTCTCTGACCTCAGAGTCCTACAGTCCCACTATTAGTGCATTTTCTCCCAGTCCATCAGTACTCCCCATCTTGCCCGCTCATCCTTCCTGACCCAGCTAAGAATTTCATTATTTTGCAATCTTCCCACTGAATCCACCAGGTAAAACCTGAAACTTGGATCAATGTCTCTCTGCCAATCTTTCCTGCTCTTAACCAGGGCAACCGAGCATTGCTAAGGTCAAATACAGGTTGAGTATCCCTTTTCTGAAATGCTTGGGACCGGAAGTGTTCTGGATTTCAGATTTTTTTGAATTTTGGAAAACCTGCATTATACTTATGGGTTCAGCACCCCAAATCTGAAAATCTGAAATCCAAAATGTTCCAAAAATCCCAAACTTGTTGAGTGCACAACATGACATTCAAAGGAAATGCTCATTGGAATATTACAGATTTTGGATTTTCAGATTTGGGACGCTCAAATTGTAATTTGGCTGTGTAGAAGCAAACCTGAGTTTGTAGTGGGGCCAAAATGCAGCCAGGCACCAACACTACCATCAGTCTTTTTCTTGTTTTTACAGCCTGTCGTCTGTCTCCATCCTCCCTAAGGGTCTATGTGAAGCCACGTGACTCCCTTTCTCAGCAGAGCTCCTGTACCTGTTTCACAGGAAAGGTGAGGTTCTCAAATGTGATCTCCCTCTGCCTTCCCCTACAAGCTTTTCTGCAATCACACTATTCTCACTTCCTTTCTCCAGACCCATAGCCTCTTAGATAGGAGTCGTCCTCTTCTAGGCCAGCACTGCATCTAGCCCTTGCTGCCAAGTGCACCTCTTCCCCATGCCTCCTGATCTTTACTCTGTTAGCTCCGTTCCATCTTCACCCTCCCCGTACTGAGTTCTTTCCCTCAACTATGAACACAGGTGGCCCCCAATTTATGATTTTTCAACATTAGGATGGTGCGAAAGCAAAGTAGAAACTGTATTTTGAGTATCTATATGGCCATTCTGTTTTTCATTTTCTGCATAATATTCAATAAGTTATATGCAATACTCCATAATTTTGTTGTAAAATAGGCTTTGTGTTATATGATTTGGCCCAATTGTAGGCAAATGTAAGCGTTCTGAGTACTTTTAAGGTAGGCCAGGCTAAGCTATGATATTCTGTAGGTTAGGTATATTAAATGAATTTTCGACATATTTTCAACTTACGATGATGGGTTTATCAGGACATAGCCCCATGGTTAAGTTGAGGAGCTTCTGTACTTGCAAGTTCCTCTCAGCTTCCCTCCTTCTTTTCAAAACAGAAGCCTGTTTCCACTGCCTTTGTCCCCTCACCTCCTACTTACTCTTCAGCTCAATGACAAATCAGCTGTTACCCCCACAGCTCTGTTGAAATAGCTGTCAACGGGATCCACAATCATCAATACCCCACATCCAAGTCCAGTGGGCATTTTTTTTTTTGCCCACATATTACTGGACCTCAATGTTGCATCTTTTCACTCCCTTCTTACAACCCTCTATTCCTTTGACTACCAGCTCTCCCAGGGCTCCTTTCCCTTCCGTAGTAGCTCATCCTTCATTCAGTAGCTCCTCTTACTTAAATGTTGAGGATCAAAAGCCCTTGAAATCAGTCTTTGCCCCACAAGGCTGCCTCTTTTCAGGGACCAGAAACTACTACTTCCCATTCAAAGGGATTGTTTCCAGTCTTTCAGGCAGGCTCTGCCCTCTGCCTGGAATGCCCCCTGTCCGGGACCACCTCCCCAGACGTCTCCACACAGCCTGGATCATATCCACTCTTCTACCGAAAGCCCCCAGTGGGCCCCTCCACCCTTTCACACGGAAGGTGAGTCTTTGCCTACCCAAGCCGGTCACTCCCAGGGAGCTGTCAGCGCCTCCAGGGCAGGACTGTGCACTCTACTCCGATGCCCTTCTCTCGGGCTGGCACAGAAAAAACGTTCAGGTTTGTTGAAGAAACGAACGAAATGGTGTGAGAGGCACCTAAGAAACACTGTTCTCGAAAAGCCAGGAAGGGAGAGCAAGGGCCCGCCGGCGAGGCCACTCACCGATGAGGACGGCACTGTCCAGATTTCGGAGCTGGGCCAACAGTTGCCCCCGCGCCTGGAAAATGGGCAGACTCCGGCGCTGCAGCTCCACGGCCTCACGGTAGGGACTGGCCGAGGGCTGGGCTAGGGGTGGCTGCTGCCTACGGCCTCCTCCACCTTTGCCGCCGCTGCCCGCAGTCATCAGCATCACCACTCGCCTCCCGGGAGGGAAGGACCCAGCGCGGCTCGGAGGCCCAGAGCCCGGCCGGAATCTCTTGGCCGGCGGGAAGCCCGCCTCCTCCGGCATGTCGGGAGGGCACCGCGGCGGGAAGCGCAAGCGCCGCCAGCTCCTGCCCCTCGCAGGTGAGGACAGCGAGCGCGCACCGCCCCTTCCCCGCCACGTGCTAGCTGCTCCAGGCGACCACCGATGATCTCACGGCCACTCCCAGCCTTTAGGAAAGGGACTACAACTCCCAACATGCATTGGCTGGGGCGGGGTGGGGGGGAAGGCTTTCACTTCCTGCGGACGGAAAAAGCAGGGGTCTGAGGTACAACCAGAAAAAGACCCGGAGCGACAACCGCGAAAGACAGCGTATGTGGTTCCGCTGGACCGTAGTCTCGGATAACGACGTTCTTTTTTTTTTTTGTTACAGTAACACTTCTTTCTAGTAAACACACGTTTTTCCCTTCTCTGTCGTCAATAAGTCACTCTTCAAGGAAAGTACTTAATTCTACAAACTCAAGGAGAAGCACAAACATTTGCATCATTTAATTCTCTACACAACTTACAAATTATATGGTAGATACTGATATTATTCCCAATTTACAGTAAAGAAACTGAGTCATCTGAAATTACTTAAGGTCATTCAGATGTCACAAAATCTTAAGTTTGAAAAGGATATTGGTGATCTTGTGTTACAGAAGCGGAAAGCAAATTCTATGATTCTATGACAACCATGTATTTTCCTCAGTGACTATTCCAATGAATGTAGTCTCCTCCAGTAATACAAGCAAAGAGGGAGTTCAATGGAACTAAAATTGTCCTTTACCTTCCCTTTTCCCCAACCATTCCTGCCTGACTCTCAAGTTCTCTACATGGCTCTGTTAACTGAAAAAAAATTAACAAAGTGTATACTTTGGAAAAAGGAGAGCTTTATTTTTCACTAAGGGTAGCAACCTGTTGAGCGGCCATTCCAACAGGTTGGGAAGCAGAGCCACAGCCAGAAGCCAGGCACAGGTGCTTCAAAGAAGAGACAAAGGCAACAGGAGTTTATACCGAGAGGGGTGGTGAAATATATACATATTCAGCAAGCCATAGGAGGAGTTATGAATATTTATGAAAGGAAACCATACACATGTAATTGTGCTTTCTTTCTCTCATTCTTTCATGGCTGGAAACTCAGTTTTAAGGTGTTTTGGGGGTCCCCTTGTCCAAGAGGGATCCAGTTAGTAGAGGGTTTAGGATTTTATTTTTAGTTTACAGCTCTTCGGTTCCATCACACACTCCAACCAATGAAAAGATTCAGAACTCCAACAGGGAAAATAGCATATAATTTGTTTCTCCTTTCCCTCCTAAATTAAAAGCTCTTAGATGATTAGCTAATTAGCTACAGAAAGACTGGCAAGTAGCTGCTTGTTCTGCATACAGGAAATGTGATTTCCAGAGAATACATTAGAAGCTTCAACCCCTGATGGACATCTTAAATTCATTTCCATGAAACTCACCCTCTGTGTGAACCTGTTAAAAATTCTCCTTCCCCTTTCCTCCAGGTGGGAGGTAACTTTCCTCTAGTTGCTGACAGTATAGTGTCAAGAGGGGTTACTGAAAATGTGCATGTTGAACCAATAGTGGATACGTGTTTAAGAATAAATTGACAAATTTTTGATTCCTACCCCCCTAAATATTAACTTAGAAAGGCAACCCAAAACTACAAGGTTATTTAGTTATGTTAACTCTCAAATTATGGACCTTGAGTTAGTATAAGACAGATCCCACCCCTTTTTCCCAGTTTGCTTTCCAGAATAACCTAATATGGGAGTCATATATTCCAAATGATTACAAGAATTTATGTAAAAATATTATAAATGGGTGAAATCATCTCTCGATAGAGCACATGCCCTTCTCTAGATACAGCCAATAATCACTTCTGGTCAATGACTATCATGCAGGCCTGCTATTGCCAGATCTTCCAGTTTTTTCAAGAAAAGCCAAAAATGAAGATTGTCATGTGAAATCTGTCAATTTTATTAATAAATGTTGGTTCAGCTGGGCATGGTGGCTCACGCCTGTAATCCCACCACTTCGGGAGGTTGAGGCTGGATATCATTTAAGGTCAGGAGTTGGAGACCAGCCTAGGTGACGTAGCAAGACCCCATCTCTACAAAAAATAAAAAAATTAGCCAGGCATGGTGGTGCACGTCTGTCCTCCCAGCTACTTGGAAGACTGAGGTGGGAGGATCGCTTGAGCCCAGAAGTTCAAGGCTGCAGTGAGCTATGATTGTACCACTGCTCCAGCCTGGGTGACACAACAAGACACTATCTCTAAAAATTAAAAAAAATATTGGCTCAATTAAAAAAAATAGTACAGGCAAAACAAAGCACATAGGTAGGTAATCTATCCATAATCTCTGGCCTAATGACGCAGCTATTCTGTAGCCTCAGGGCTAAGAAAACCAAAGAGTTGAAAAATTAAATCTTGTATAAGCATCAAGCCAGGTTGCCCACATTTCTCCCATTAGCAGTCTGAAATCTGCTGCGCCTCTTAAATTAAAGTCTCTTGTGGTTCAGTATGCAGATGCTGAAAAGCTAATAACTATTCAAAGAATATCCTGGCTCTTCCTCTAAAAGGTGAAGCATCAGGCACATTTCATTCTTCACTAGTCTGGGATGGTCTGTGAACTTAACTATCCAGTCTGACCATGACCATTCCAGCTGGTAGTTACCTTGGCTTCTATGACCACCAAACTATGGCCTTTGATCATGTTCAGTTTTGCTCCATCCCACTTCCAGAGACTAACATAAGCTTCAGCAACTAGGCACAAGCTTGCATGCATACACATTAATCCCTCTATAATTAAAAATACCAGATAATAGTCTGCTGATCAATAAACAAAGTATTTATTCAGCACCCATGTGCCAAGCACTGTGCTAGGCACTGTGGTGGATACAAAAATTAAGACATAGTCCCTGCCCTTAAGGAGCTTACATTCTCATGAGGGAGACAAGACTAATATACATATACCAGCTAGGAACAGTACAAGACAATATATAATTTGGTGTAAGAGTATGTCATACAGACTTGAAGCTTTATAGGGGTTCAAAGAAAACGGACGATGAAATAGACCTTACGTCAAGATTTCTTGAGGAGTCAGGAACGATGCCAGGCCTTCAAGGACTGAAGAAACTTAAATTAAGGTTCCCGTTAGGTATTAATAGAAGTGGGAGTAAGGTTCAGAAAAACAAAAAGTGTGCATTTGATGTGGGAGCTTAGAGCTTACCAAGAAGTCCCTGTGGATTTCTGAGCAGAGAAGGGACTTGATCGTCTGAGCTTCAATAGCTTTAATGCAAACTCATAAAATATGTAAGTACCTTAGGGACACCCTGCAGAACACAGAAAATAATGGCAGGATCACAACAATACAAGTGGAACTCACCTGTCAAAGAAAACATAGCCGCAACACAAAAAACACTGGCAGGATAGATGACAACAATTCTAGAAAGCCCATTACCCAACATGGCAATAGCTCCACTATTTCCTAATTTTCAGAGGCCCCAGGGACAGAGTGAGGGTTTCATTACCAAGACCCAGGACTGGGTGCCCTGCTTTGAGAAACTACATGAGAGGTATGAAAGATATTAGGATGTACAAGAGTGACACAGAAAAAGAACAAGTGGAAGAGAAACAAACAGAAATCCATGGTGAAAAAAACATACACCAAAATGTACATAAAATGTATCTCCTAGGGAGATGAAATTTGCATATCCATTTATTTTTAAATGAACGTATTTCTGTAACAAAAAAAATCTATGCCTTAATCAGGTGTGCTTTTCAGTATTACTGGTAGAATCCAGGAATCCTTCAAGTTATGTGTAGGTAAGGTTAGTTGGTTATAAAATTTCATATATCAAATCTTGCTTTAAATTGACTTGGATTATGAAAAGAAAGTATGTTCTCAAATAATCAAGATTGAGAGGTAAATTGGGGAAGAAGGATTTTTCCTTACGTCCAGGCAAGCATAAGTATCCTGTCAAGCAACACAAGGATAGGGATGGTGGTAGTGGGACTGGCCAAACTGGTAAGAGGTGATTGAAATTATCACTGTCAGGACACAGTGTAGTCACATAGCATGGCACCCTGCCACTAGGAATTTACATGCTATAAAGTCAAATAAACCAAAATCCCGTAACTGACTGCCTTTAGGCTATACATTCAAAATGTTTTCTGCTCTACCCAATCATTAATATGTACAGATAGTCCCTACTAAAATGAACAGTCAGTTCATAGACTTTAGGATTAAAATTTTACCACAAAAATTCTATTAATTGGATAACTCAATGTTAACTCAGGAATCCTCAGCACCAGATTGCATGGGGAAAAAAGTTAACTCAGGAGAACAAATAAAACTAGAGAAATTCATTTCTAGCCCAAAAACAGTTTAAAAAAAAAAAGATTCTAATGAAAGTCACTGATAAAGCTTTCTTGAAGAAAACAAGACATGATAAAACTTAAGAATCCCATAAGGATTATATACTCTGAGAGTGGCATTTAAATTTTAAAAAGATTTCTTAAACTGTTTAGGAAAAAAAGCAATCCCATTGACCCAAGTTCCATAAAAATCACAACATACGTATTCAAATAGTAACATGTAAAATATTTAAATTCCATCTCTATGTAATTCCATTTAAAGATATCAAAATACTTTTCACCTCACAATCTGAAAATTCCCATTTAGGATGTGTATTATGTTTAATCTAAGCTTACGTTGATCTTTCTGAGGGAAATCTCACACTCTAGAAAGCTACTCCTTAACCAAGGTTGAACTACTGCTGACAATCCAGTTTTGGGAAGGCGTCCTGTGCCTGCACACTGTTTATGAAAGCTAATTGAAATCACCTGTTTCCTAGAGGTACCCTTTTCACTTTTCTGGGATCTCTGAGT